TTGTTCATGGTAAATATATACAATTTTTATATCAGTTTTTAAAAATAAAACTTATTTTCCCCCCCAAAAAAATTTTTTAAATTTCAAATTAAAGCAACTATGAGGTACCACTATATACCTATTAGAATAATCAAAATCCCCAAAACTCTGGCAATATTAAATACTGATAAAGATGTGAAGCAATAAGAACTCTCATTGTTATGGAAATGCCAAATGGCAAAGCCACTTTGAAAGACAGTTCAGCAGCATCTGACAAAAAGAAACATACATACTATTGCCATAAGATCCAGCAGCTGCAGGGTGTATATAAGAACTCTCTAAACTTGTCCAATTTTGCTGTTCAATTAAAACTGCTCTAAAAAAATCTGAAAGAGAGAGACAACATATCATAAACATATCAATAAGAACACAGCCTACCACTGTCCCCAAGATAAAATTATCAGCTTAGCACAATCTCATTGTCAACTTTTATGAGCTCTTATTTAAAGTTCATCTTGAACAGTAAAATTTTAACATAAAACTTAATCAGAGGCAAAGACTAAAGGGAACTACTGACTTTCTAGGATTAAAGGGATTAACGGGTAAAAGCACTTAGGAAGTGCAGTATAACAAGCACTCAGTAAATGTTAGCTATTCTTATCATTGTATGACTGAAATAATGTTACTCCTAATGCAATCCTCCCCAAGGTAGGTGATAATGAAAATGGCCAGAGGTAAAATATCTGAAGCTACTGTGTAGTGTTACTGTAATGAAGGAAAGGAAATAAATAGCTTAGTAAGTAGAGGGAAAAGTAAAATCCAGAGGGACAGTTTTAAGATAGAAGAAATAAGACTGTATTTGTGTGCTATTAATTCCAATCTGCAAAGAGATAGAAATGATAATATGTATGAGAGTCAAAGGATTATTTTCTGGATCCTTTCCCTTGATTAGGAAACGGGGAATGAGATATATGAGTGTAGAGCACATGGGAGGGTTGGCCCTGGACTAGCAAGCAGTCTATCCCTACTCGAGAGGAAGCAGGCTAGATAGACTCAGATGCTAGTAGTTAGGAGTATGATCAAGCCTACTAGATCAGAATCCAGGCAAGTCCATTCTAGCAAGCTCCCTAAGTGATTATTAATGTCAATAGAGTTTGAAAATCACTGTTCTAAACAAACATATGTATTTCACATATGGGAAAAACAGGTCCAAAGAAACAGAAGTGATTATCCCAGATCAAGCGGCTCTTTTGTAGCATAAGCAGAACTAGCCACCATCCTTTTCACTACACAAAATAAATCCATAAAGTAAAATGAGCTTATATAGAGTTATTAAAGGTCATTCTAGAACCACTCAAGTCATTTGGACTTACAGGGACAATATAAATCAAATGTCCAGCTTCTACAGTTCCCCATAGAACAGTGGTGACGAACCCATGGCACAAGTGCTGCATTGTATCACTGAAAGCTCTAAAAGGTTCACCATCGCTGCTATAAAATATTAAAACTTAGGGCTGGGGATTTAGCTCAGTGGTTTTGCTGCCTACCGTGCAAGCTCAAGGACCCAAGTTCGATCCCCGGTACCAAAAAAAATATATATTAAAACTTAGAGTCACTTGGCTTGGAAACACTCTCAAACTCCAGAAACACAAATATCAACAGTTTCCTACACTGCACATAATTCCATTTAAAATATCTGTTCAGTATGATTCATCTCTCTAAAAATTAAAAATACAATGACAAAAAATTATAATTAAATAATTATATTTCAATAATTATGCCTGGATTTTGTCTTTTTAATCTGTCCATTTTGGATAATTATTATACCCTTTATTTAAGCATACCATGGTATATCTTCAAGAACTCCATTATCTGCAATCCTTAGAAAAATGTTTATAGTTTCTACTGATTCACACATAGTGTCTGGTCTTCTCACATAGTCTCCTCACATACACAGTGATCTTTATGAGCTCTTTGCTTGTTAATCTGTGTAAGTTCTGCTGGCCAATATTGGAGGCTTTACACCACTGAGGAATTGCATCTGCCTCTGCTGATAGGTCATATGGGACTACTTTAGTCCTCCCTTGAAAGTGTTGTGTAAGAATGGGAAACCAGGATCACCTTCCCCTGACTCTGTTTCCTGGCCAAAAGGCTCCATATCTGACAGACCACTACAAGACCACTCACCCTCTAGGCACCCATTCACTGTCCAGTTTTGCAGTTCACCAGTTCTGATTTTGGGCCCCACCCCCACTTCCTCTGAGACAAGTGTTTTAATGTGCGTGGCTCTTAGCCAGAAAAGTCTTGCGTGTACTCCACCATGCTAGTAGAAGTTCCTTCCAATTTCTATACTAATAGCCAATTGTTAGAAATTTACCTTATGGGAAATCAATAAAATCTGGTGGGGGTTATTTTCCCCTCTTTGGAATGTTTTGGTTTTTTAACTACTAAGAATATTTATTTCTAAAATTAATCCTTAGTTTGAAATTAACTGAGCAATATATTCTAAATGACATAGGGAGTGAGACAAGGAATAAAGTATACTAATACTAGAAAGTAGAAAAGACAATTTGAAAGGGAAAGTAAGTGTTAGCAAACTTAATAAACCAGCAGCGATGTATATTTATTTTTCTCATTTTCCCACAGATCCTCACAGGGCCTTAACTGAGATAGACATTTGGAAACTTCTGCTTTAAGACCTAATACTTTCTGACTGGTCAGAGGAATGGCAGATATTGATAATGTGTAGCTTCATGTATTTTGTAGTCTTTGGTAATATCTGAAATTGGTCAACCATTTATAATATATAGCAGCCATGCCCATAAATTAGTTGAAAAAACAACTCCTCAATAATTGTATTAAATGATAAAATGTTCCCTATTTGTATATGGCAACAAACTTTTAAAAACCAACCAAAATGAATTACCTAATATGAATGGTTAATAGTTTCCATTTGAAACTTGTTAATATTTCATAAGTTTAAAATGAATCAAGAGGGCCGGGGATATAACTCAGTGGTTCCACCACCTGCCTAGCAAGCGCAAGATCTGGAGTTCGATCCCCGCTACCAAAAACAAAAAAAAACAACCCAAAAAATGAATCAAGAACGTTTTGCATTTCTGGAACTGGAAGATGAGAAGACTAAGAAAGACGCCAGTAAAAACTAATAAAAATCACTGTGAAGACCAAATTCAGGAGTCTGTGAATTTTCCTTATCTCTATCAACTACATTTTCAAGGGCAGACTATTTCACTTCTAATTGCATTTTCTTTTTTTATCGAACTCGGGACCTTGTGCTTGCAAGGCAGGCGCCGGGAACTGCTGAGCTAAATCCCCGGCCCTCTAATTGCATTTTCAATTCAATTCTGTGTTTGAATTCCAGCTCTGCCACTTCATAGTTTCCTGGGAGAATTTAACCTTTGAATTTCACCTTCCTCATCATTAAAATGAGGATAAAAATCATACCTATTTCATTGAGTTATTGAAAGGACTGAAGGATACTGTGTATTATGCACTTAGCAGAGTACTCGGAATATGGTAAGGACTCAGTATATATCAACTCTTCCTATTAACAGCCACGTGTTAATAGCAATATTACAAAGATGAAGTTTTGAATCAGGCGTGATCTTTATTTTTTCAGGCATGATCTTTAAAGAGTCAAGTCCTGTTAGTGGGATTAAGTGAAACAATATCCTTTAGAAACTGGGATATTCCCCAGTAGCAGTTCAAGCTACCCCGGGAAATTTAGCTCAATTTTTTAAAAAGGGCTGGGGATGCAACTCAGTGTTAGAACGCTTGCCTATCAGGCTTGAAGCACTGGGTTCAATCCTCAGAACTACAACAAAGTCATGGTTGGAAGGAAAGAAAACTGACTTTCTGTATGATCTCATTACAGTAATTATTCATTTGGATAAGAATTTACTTTTTCTGTCCTTTCTGATTCTAACAATTTTGTTTCCCAGGATAGACACATTCCAAGTGAAAATTTGAGATATTAGAGCGTAACATTTGCAATATTGAGCTTAATGCATTTTACTTGATTCCCAGTAGTAGTATTCACCACCATAACACACACTTGCTGACTCTATTAATGTAGAAAACCGAATTTGCAATTCAGAGTTATTTACATTTTGGTGGTGGTGGGGGGGGACCGGGGATCGAGCTCGGATCCTTGCGCTTGCACAGCAGGCGGCGAAACCACTGAGCTAAATCCCGGGCCCCTAATTACTTACATTCTTAAGAGACACCTTCTGGTAAAGACAATGCTTCACACAAGATACTTTTGGCCTCCCTCGGATCACATATATTTTCGTTCTTCCTAAGCAGATATACCAAAATGGCCTGCGCCGCGAGTCATTTCATCTGTTTTAATCCGAGTCTCCCACATTATCCCCCTTTCTTCTGGATTTAAGAGTTGGTCATCTAAAACCAAGCTCCAAGGATCTGGTTGCTAGGAGACAAGACGCTAAGAGGGTGGGGACGCTGCACTGCGACAATCCCAGGAGTGAAAGGCAGAGAAGGGAAGGCACGGGGAAAGCTAGGCGGCTCCCCGCCCTGCCGCTCGTCCGGCTCCCTCCAGCTCGGGAGGAGCTCGTCGCTCATTGGCTCCGCCGCCGTGGAGCTGACTCGCGATTGGTCAGATAGCATCGGCTCGGCTCTTTTCCCCGCCCCCCTGCTCCTGGCACTGGTGCCTGGCCGTAGCCTGTAAGCGGACGCCCGGGTGGGCGGCGTGTGCTGGCACCGCGTCGGGATTACGGGCTGGGTCGTGTGGGCTCCTTGGCAAGACAGCAGGTGACAGAGGCGCAGCGAAGCCCTCCGTGGCCCCTTAGAGGTGAGAGAGACGACGTAAGACTCGGGCGACGGTAGGGGAACGGGAAGTGGGGCGAGGGGCGGTACCGCTCGCCGCCAGCCGGTTCCACCGCGGTCCCCACCCCCACTTGGGGTGCCTGGGCCGGGGTCCCGGCCGCCGAACGCCCCCACGCGCAGCCAGCCGGCCCGGCTCCAGCCGCCCGCCTGCTCCCCGAGCCAGCAGCGGGTCTCGCCTGTCCTCCAGCTGAGGGAGCTCGGCGTATCCCCGCTTCTGTCCCGCCTCGCCTTTGCGGGACGTCTTTGTCTGACCCAACCTGCGTTCCGTGATTTTCTGCGCCTACCGGGACTGTGAGGGAGCCGCGAAGGTCTGGGGTGCCCGGAGGAAGCGCCGCACAGGAGCCTCGGGGCCAGGGTTTGAAGGGCTTTGACCTCCACACTCTGGGCATGGGTATAATGTTACTTTCTCTGGGATCAGAGCCAGCTGCCTCGGTTCTCGTTTGTGGTTAGGGGTCTGGAAGTCCGGGTCCAGGATAACTCAGTGTTACCGCCACCCTCCCTTGTGCCAGAGGCCTTCGACCTTCCCCACCGACCCTCCACCCTCTTTCCATCTTGCCACTACCTGGGGCAAAAAAAAAAGTCCGTCTACAAGAGCCAGTCTGTTTGCACAGAGAAAAAATTCAGATGCTTTTCGTCGACCTCCATCTGGTAGGGAAGTTACAGACACTGTCTTAGTAATACATATACAAAAACCAAGATATGGGAATAAGAGGTGTATTCTTTAGAAGTGTAATCTATTAAATAATAGAATATTTTTTAAATTTTTTATTAGTAGACGTTTGCAGTGCATAATGATTACATTCCTCATGGGGAGTTGGTGCATCATGTACGTAATATCTCTTTTCCCTCTTTTTCCTTCCCCCTCCCTCCATCTCTTCCCCCTCTTCCCATTTGCAAAATACCTATCTCCTCTGTTTCCAATTGTATTTTATTTTTCTCTTTATTAGAATATTTATTTTTGGTTAAGAAAAACTTTTTTTTCCCATGTTGATAGAACCCTTACTAGGCAAGCACTCTACCACTGAGGTACATTTCCAGCCCAAATTCTTTTCACATTTAGATTATTTAAATTATTCTTAAACAGGTATAGCATGAACGAATCGAATATCGTTTGAAATATACATATAAGTTTTTAAGTGTTTGATGTGGACAGTGTTTTAGAATTTCAGTTGAATCTTAAAAAAAAAAACAAAAACAACCCAACAGGGTCTTCGCCCGGAAATCTGTTTTAGACTGCTTTGTGCTGAGATTCAAACAAATCATAATAAACCAGCCCATTCCCTGCTTCCCAAATCAGGTGGTATGCAAAGTGATGCATGTACTGCTCACATAAAGGAGAACAGTGCCTTTTTCGCTAGTGAGAAACCAGGTCCTTCAAGAATGTTGTGCATTCAAAATTAAATTGACTAATCTGCAGGACACAATTACCATTTATTTTTGCACAATGGAAATACTTAAATCATTTAAATGAGTTGTGGCTCTTCAATTTGAAGTGGATTGCAAAAGATACAATCAGTCTGTCAAGTTTTGTGATTTTCTTATTAATTCAGCAAACATTTTTGGCAATATGTATTTGACTTGTTGGTCACTTCTAGAAATCAGAAACGAGTCTCCTCCCATAAGAGAAACCATAGTCCTGTAGGTTAAAGGGAAAAATAAACAAATTTTTCACGACCTTTCAAAGATTTCTGACGTTCTTCCAAGACCTTTTCCAGGCCTTCATTCCACAGGTTTTCATCAAACTCAGCTAGGAATATATGAAAGAACGTTGCTTTTGGATTCACTCAATTTTTTTACCTGACTTTGAAATGGCTCTTTTTTTTTCTGGTACCTAGGATCGAACTCAGGGCCTTGCCCTTGTGAGGAAGGTACAGCGCCACTGAGCTAAGTCCCCAGCCGAAATGGCCAAATCTTTAAAAAAGAATGAAGTTCTGTAAAATTATTTTCTACTGGGTACAGTTACAGTTATTAAACTAATTACTGGGAATTGTTTATGCCAATAATGACCGAAGTAGGAAGGGGGAAATAATGGTAGTAATAAGTTACTGAGCATATGTTGTGTAGCAGACAGTGTGCTGGGTCTTTATAGTATAATTTGGTTCTCACAATAGTCCTAAACATAGGTATTTTCCTTATGGGTGAGACAGTGGAAGCCCCAGTTTGTACTGCTAGAGTGGTAAAGCTGCTACTCAATTTGTTAGCAGCATACTTCATTGAGATATTACTATCCTTTTATTTATCATATTAACCTTTCTTTTTTTTTTTGGTACAGGGGATTAAAGCCAGGACTTTCACACTGAGCTGCATCCCTGGCCTTTTTTTTTTTTTTTTTTTTGAGTCAGGCTCTTGCTAAGTTGCCCAGGATGGACTCAAACTTGCATTTCCCTACAACCTGGTTTATCATATTAATCTTTATGAATCTGCTTAATCCAGGAGCTCAAGAACAGTGATGCAATTACTACAAACATTATATATTTCTCACTGTATGCCGGGTAATACTTGGCATCCAGAGTATCCTCAGAAGTATGTGAGCTAGCTACTATTTTTACCTTTGTTTTACAGATGAGAAAATTGACGCATAGATGTTATCTGAACCAGATAATACCTTAAATCGTAAAACTGGGTGCAACGTTGGACAGTCTGACTCTGGAATCTACACACATAACTACTGCATTTCACTGGCCCTTCAGTAAGGTATGTTTCTGGATGATAAGAAGCTATGATTTTAGAATGCTTAATATCCTTCTGTGTCTTTTTTATTATTAATAAAACACTTTATTATAAACTTCTGCAGAATATAAACTGATTTTGTATCAAGACTTTTTGAAACTTTTAAAACTATATGTAACATAAGCTTATCATTATTATAGTGTATTCATTTTCCACTTTCCAGTCTAGAAAATATACTGCAAGTTAACAAGGGGAAAAAAATCTGAATTGCTTTATAGAAAAACAATGAACATAAAAATACCCAACTCAAAGCTAAAACAAATCTAATCAAGAAATAGATTCTGCAAAGCCTATTAATCCTCCAATTAAAAATAAATTATTTCCCAAGGAAAAATAATTCCACCATCATGGCAATCTGAATAAACCAGAGCCACTCTCCTAGAGGGAAATTATATTAAATGTAAGAAAAATGTAATAATCCTTTCAGAAAATGAGGGAAAGCAATTTCCACATTCAAGAGCAAGCATACTAAAATACTTAACGTTCACCTGGCCTTTGTGAGAATGAAAATTCCTGTTCATGTAAGTGATGTGAACATGAATATCATAAAACCAAGCTCCTTAGCTATTTTTTTCAATTTAACCTCAGGAGAACCAACTAAAAGAGGTTCAAAATCCAAGGATAGACTGATCCCAAAGCATTTCTTCCTCTGTTCTTTCTTTACCTTGTTCCTTTTTCTCTTTTTTACGCTTACAGTGGTCTTCCCTCTGAGAGGCTACATCTTGGCTTTTTTCCTCTTTCCGATGCTTAAGCTTTTCTGTGCTGACCTGGGCAGTTTCAGTTTCTACCTATGTTTTCCTTCTTTGGATGCTCTCATGTTCTTCTAAATCCACTTCCTCGGGACTTCTTTTCCTTTTATGTTTGGGCCGTTCCTCCTTTGGTTTTTCTTTGCCTTCCTCTGAGTGCCTTCTTTTCTTCTGATGACTGGCTTGATGGGTACCAGTCTTGGATCCCGAAGAGAGGTGCTCGGGACCTCTAGATTCTACACTGGCTGAACCATGATTATATTCTTGCTGACTGAGGTTCAGGGGTGCTGGTTTTTCTGAGAAACAGTCCCTGGGGAACTGACAGTAGCTCAGAGACTAGTCTAGGCCTGTTGTCATAATCTGGGAACCACTGAGGTAACCGGTTTTCTGTCTGTGAGATATTATGTGATCTTGGGTAGGTCTGGATGGTTCCAGATGGGAGTCTTTGATCAAACTTTCTATACATGGGTCTGGAATCAACTTCTTCCCTGTACCCACAGCTTTCCAAATAGTCCTCTCTCATCTTTCTGAAACAAGTCTTTGGCTCTAAGCCTCTGGCTTTCTGCACTTTAATATAATCTTCAAGTTCATCTTGAAAAGAGTCATATGACTTTGAATTCTTCATTAGGTTGACATAAACGGATTCTCTTTGTCAGTTTGAGGACTTGGTGGAGAAATCTGATCATATTTATCTAGTACTTGCTTCAGGTTTTCAGCATGAACTTTCCCCAAATAGTGAGACTGTACAACAATCAGGGAGCTCATAATGTAAAATCTTTTATTATTAAAACTGTAGCACTGCTCCACAGATGACTTTTATATAAAGCACCTGTAAAAGTTGTCTTTCTTCATTCAATATAGTATCTTCGCTGAGGCAAGGGTGGGATCTACAACTACTGTCCCCCTCCCCGCCAGTGCTGCCGGCCAAAGGACAGGTGGCCGTGGAGGTGGCAGAGAGGCAGGAACAACCACTGCTGCTGCCGCTTCCTCCGCCACCAAGCAGGCAGGGTGGGAGTTCTATGTCTTTTTTTAATGTTCATACAAACACATAGAGGACAACTATAATGTCTACCACCTAATACACTATATCCTTGTTTTATGCAAACAGTTACATAGTACTAATCATAGTTTTGCTTAGAGCTTACAACATTCCAACCCCTGTGCAGTGTTTTAAACATCTCAGTCCTCAGCATAATCCTGGAAAATAGCTAGTGTTATTGTGTGCTGCATCTCCTTTGTGAGGTACTTTTAGTGTCTTCAAGGTGATTTTATAAAATGATTCGAATCTCTCCATGCCATCAATCAATTTTTATCACCTGACTTTCATTCCTGCAGTTGAACAAGATTAGGTGACTTACCTTGACTAGAATAGGATGGTGCTGAAATTCAAACCAGAGCTTCAGACTCCTGTGTATGGGGGTGGGGCTAGTGGTGTAGGAGTGATGGCTTAGGATGGGGGATACACTTTTTTTCCCAGTATATTGGTCTGTTGGTGGATCTTGTACTGCTTGTCCTAAAATAGGCCATATTTTCCCATTGGAACAGCTTACATTTGGAGATTTTGTCCCCAACCAAGAATTCAGTGTTAGTTAAGTCATTGATATAACTAGCCATAGACATTTGTCATCATTTTGATCTGTAAATTTATGTTCCAACTTCAGATACAGTGCTTGGCACATAGTGGGGATTTAGTAAATGTCCGAATCAATTAAGAAGTATCTTGGGTGGGGATTTAGCTCAGTGGCACCACGCCTGCCTCATAAGCACAAGGTCCTGAGTTCAATCCCCAGTACCAAAAAGAAAAAAAAGAAGGAATGTCTTAAGTACATTGACAAAAAATTGTTTCTAAAATATTGTAAGTTTGAATGGGTAGCTTCTTTTTTATTGACTTTTTTTTTTTTTTTTCCATAGAGGGGATAGAACTCTGGACTTTGCACTTGTGAGGCAGGCGTGGCGCCACTGAGCTAAATCCCCTTCCCTGTGTAGCTTCTTTTTATTTGTGATATCACAGCTTTTTCCCTTCCCTACATTACAGGCAGAGCTTTTGGAGCTGTTTCAGTGAAACATAATTAATTTCACAATCTATTAGGGCCTGCCCCCTGCCCCAGCCACTATTCCTAATGCACTATGTCCCTTATACAATACTTCTTACATAGTATGGAAACCATATGGATTTGAGAGTCATTTTTACCTGAGTTTGAAATCCTTGCTCTCTTTTATGAGCTGTATGAGCTTGCACAAATTAATTTCTCTGAACCTGTTTCTTCATCTTATAAAAGGGGAAGAGCACCTACTTTATAGGAATGTGTTAAGAATTTATTGAAGTAGGGCTGGAGATTAAGCTCAGTGGTTCTGCTGCCTGCCCCACAAGTGCAAGGACCTGAGTTTGATCCCCAGTACCAAAAAAAAGAATTTTATTGAAGTAACATAAAAAGAGCAGAGTTCCTGCTCTTTATAGATACTCAGTAAGTAACAGCTGTTACATTTCCCCCTCTGCCCCTCCTCAGCTCTCCTCTGCTTTCTTTGACTCTTGGTCAGATAGTATTATGTTTAAATTTCCTGTTTTTCTGCCAGGTATTCCTTGAATACAGGAAATATATAGCATGGTCATAGTAAGGACTTGTATCCCTGGTGCATGGTACCCAGCTGGGCTCAAGCAGTGTTTGTTGAACTATATGTGGAAAACCACCCACAGCCTCTTTGTGTGCATTATGTTATAGCCTGCTGGGTTCAGACACCCTTGAGTAAGCTGAGGAGCAGTGGATATGTTATTCAGGAGCTCCTGGATTAAACTAGGGATTGTGATGAAAGGAGAGAATGGTGGCACCAAATGAGGAAGCCTGCAAAGCCTCCACTCTGAAGTCTTTTACATATGTCAGGGTGCGCATTTGTGTGTGTAAGTATTAAACATTTTCAGGCCAGTTGTCACATTGCTTCTGAAGATAAGAAAGAACTTTGGTGTTTTTTTGTTGTTTCAAATGTGTAAACATGCCAGTTGTGGTGGCTCATGCCTGTAATCCCAGCACTCCTGAGGCCAAAGCAGGAGGATCACAATGAGTTCAAGGCCAGCCTGAACTGCACAGAGACCTTGTCTCAAAAAAAACCAAAAAAGGGGAGGGGAGGGAACATAATAGTAAACACAGTTGTTGATATAATCTCTCTGCCATTTATAACTAATAACCACAGTAACTGTTATTCTTACTTTTTTTGGTACCGGGGATCGAACTCGGGACCTTGCACTTGTGAGGCAGGCGGTGAAACCACTGAGCTACATCCCCAGCCCCGTAACTGTTATTCTTAACCTAAATTGTCAGATTAACTTTGTTTTAAGTTTCATTTATTGAGTCAATAAAAGGTCAGTATGCTTAGCCCTCATTGATTATGCATTTTTTTTTTTTTTTTTGGTAATGGGGATTGAACTCGGGACCTTGTGCTTTCGAGGCAGGCGGCAGCACCACTGAGCTAAATCCCTGGCCCTGCCCTCATTGATTATGATGTGGACATTTACTCACAGGAAAAAGAAAGGGAATATTGCTTATGAATAGAATGAAATTATAATTCTTTTTTTTTTTTTTTTTTTTTTTTTTTTTACCAGGGATTGAATTTAAAACCTTGCACTTTAGAGGCAGGCGCGATGCCACTGAGCTAAATCCCTGCCTGAAATTATAATTTTTTAAATAGTGATATATGGGTATTTTCACCATTTATAAATTGCTAATCAGTGTATAAATAGATACACTTAAGAGTTTTTTCAGGAAGATAAATTGTATTCACTTCTCCCCCAACATTTTATTGTGAAAAATTTTGAACATACAGCAAAGTAAAAAGTTTAAATATCTATATACCCACCATTTAGATTCTGCCATTAATACTTATTTTAATTTTAATGGCTATCAAGTCAAAATATTCATAAGTATACTTTTATGTTTGAAGAGTTTGGCCTGAATGTTCTGTATTTTAGGTCAATTTTATATTTTCTTTACATGCCATCACATATTTTTTAGGCATGAATTATAATGAATCTATCATGCTCTGAAAACACTTGAATTTCAGATGTAAATAAAGCTGATTTTTCCTCCCTACCCCTAGTTCCAAAAGATGAGTCGTGGATATTCAGAAAACAACAATTTCCTGAACAATAACAACCAAATGGTATTGGACATGATCCTTTATCCATTAATTGGAATCCCTCAGACCATCAACTGGGAAAGCATTGCAAGACTTTTACCTGGATTAACACCCAAAGAGGTAAATAACAGTCCCCCATTTATTTTCTGAAAAATAAAAAAAGTGATCAATTTAAAGAAACAACCAAGTAAGATAAAATATTTGAGTTTTACATATCCATATGCAGGTATGTATATGTATATCTATGATTTGACTAGACACAAACTATATAAATTGACATGTTTAAATTCGACCCCTGTTTAACTTACTGGAAAGTCCTACTTTATATCATGACATCATTTGACTTCACTTGGCACTAATACATCTGTCATAGACCAACTTTCTTCCTTACATGTATCTTTTTTTTTCTTTGCCATGAACAATTATAATATGTCTTGGTATGAATTTAATTATAAACAAAAGCGAATGGGCACTGAAATATTTTGTCATCCTGATAATCTAGGTGATTTTGTTTATGTAATTCTCAGAATCAAAACTTAATTTTTGTACTTGGAATTGATCTGGGGCCTTTGCATTGAGCTACATCCCCAGCCCTTTATAAAAAATTTTTATTTTGAGACAGGGTCTCACTAAGTCATTAAGTTTCCCAGGCTGAGTTCAAACTGTGATCCTCCTGCGTCAGCCTCCCAGAGTGCTGGGATTAAAGGTGTATGCCACCTGCTTGGCTAAAATTTAAAAATTTTTATAGAGGACTCAGTCCTGTAATTTGTCCGTGAACATTAGTGTGAGAAATACCTCAAATTTTTTACTTCTAAAAAGAATCCTAAAGTAGGTGAATCATCTTGGACTTCTAGAAATGGCATTCTAAAATGGCATTTTTTCCCAGGTAGATTTTAAACATTTCCCCATTGCCTGGCCCATCATACATACTCAATAAATAGGTACTGAATCAAAATCAAGTTCCACCCTCTTTCCTTATAGCTAGGAAAACTAGGCCTCAGAAATTATTCCCTTCACCTGTACTGTGGGTCTTTGTGAAATTATGAAGGGATTTTTTTACTGTATATCATCACTTCCTAATTTATATAATTTTTGAAGCAAAATATTTATTGGTACATTTTAGATATACACAATGATAACACTCATCGTGAGGGATTTGTACCTATACATGATATATCAACTTTTTGTTATGAATGCTCTCAAACCTACAGAAAAGTTGAAAGAATAGCACAATCCTATTTCCTTTACATAGATTCAGCAATTCTTATTTGGTTGATATCTTCATAGGACTAATTTCTCTGACATATAAATGTAACTTTCAGACATCATGATGGTTTTTTCCCTATAGGCTTCAGAATATATGTCCTTAAAATAAGGACATTATTGGGCCGGGGATTTAGCTCAGTGGTTCTGGCACCTGCCTCACAAGTGCAAGGTCCCGAGTTCAATCCCTGGTACCCAAAAATTAGATAAATAAATAAAATAAGGACATTATTACATAGTTACAATACTATTATCAAACCTAAGAAAATTAACAATAACTCCATCATTCCATCTAATACAGTATTCACTGTATCTTCAAAATTACCCATTTAGAATTTTTTAAAAAAATATGAAAATATAAATCAAGCATTGTGGCACACACTTGTAATCCCAGCACTCTGGAATACTGAGGCAGGAAGATTACACATTCAAGCCTAGCCTGGGTAATTTAGCAATACACTGACTCAAAATAAAAAGGGCTAGGGGTATAGCTCAGGGTGAAAGGTCCTTGGTTCAGTCCCCAGTATGGCGGGGTGGATGGGTAAAATACAACTAAACATGAATCAAAGTAGTTTTAGATAATAATTTTTAATACTTATGTCCTAAACAAAACATCTTTAAAGAATATATACATAGTAAAAAATCAGAATTGTACTCAGAATTGTAAATCGGACCTTTCCTAAGGCAAGGTATTGATAACTTATATATATCCTTCCATATTCTTTTTTATACCTATCTGAGTTTTTTTTTCAGCGATGGGAATTGAACCCAGGTCCTCATGTGTGCTAGGCCCACACTGTACCACTGAGCCACATCCCCAGGTCCCTGTGATAATTCTTAAAGGGAGCATACGACATATACTGTGTACAGTTTTCCTACTTGCTTTATTTACTTAGCATATTGTAAACGTCTTTGTATGCCGGTCAGTAGACTTCTGCAATATTCAATGACAGTTTATTTGAACCATAATTATTTATCCAGTCCCTTTTCTTGAGTATTTAGGTTATTTTTTTCCAACTTTTCTCTACTACACTACCACTGTAACAGATATCTTATTATCATTTCTTTAGGGGATAATCACAGAAACAGAATTGCTAAGTCAAGGGCACATGCATTTTTTTTTTTTTTTTTGTACTGGGAATCAAATTCAGGACCTTGATCTTTCGAGGAAGGCGGCAGAACCACTGACCTAAATCCCTGACCCCCGGCACATGCATTTTTATAGCTTTTGTTTCATATTGTCATATTGCCCACGAGGAAGTCATTGTTTTTATATTGTAGTCAACATAGCTGAGTGCCTGATCCTTGCATTTTTTATATCAAGCATTGTTTATGCATTTGTATGTTTTCAAAAGTCTCATAACATATACTTAATTTTAATAAATTATTTTATTGTAGGTTTTTTGTTTTAAGATAGGGTCTTGCTATGTTGCCCATTCTGGCCTCGAACTCCTGGGCTCAAGCAGTCCTCCTACCTCAGCCTCCCAGGAAGCTGGCATTATAGGTGCACACCATGCTTGGGTCTCACTATAGTTTTACTTTTCTTTAGGTTCTGGAGATAAAATTTTGTATTTTATTGTTCCATGTTATTTTTCTAATGTGAGTTACAAATTTAGTAAGTTTTCTGTGTACTAAGTATATTAACCCTTGACCTGTCTTTTCTGTTTTTTTAGCCTATAAAGTTATTAATGATAGTTTCTTATATACAGATGTTTGAAACATATGTTAAAATCTATGAATCTTTTACTTTGTTGCCTTACTTTGATGTCATGTTGAGAAAATTCTTGTCACCTCAGTTATGTATGATACATACTTGCCTACATTCTCCTGATCACTTTCCTTTTTTATATTTAAATCTTGACTTCATCTGGAGTTTAAACTTTTTTGGGTTTTTTTTTTCGTTGTTGTTTTATTTTGTTGTTGTTGTTGTTTGCTTGTTTGTTTGTTTTTTTAAAATTTTTTTTGGATTGAACTCGGGACCTTGCACTTGTGAGGCAGGGGTCGGAACCACTGAGCTAAATCCCCGGCAATAGAGATTTTAAAGTGGATGCTATAGCAGTGTTTGATGAAGACACACAGAAAGTCATTTTATATTGTGACTTAGAAACAAGATTTTCATAAAGGAGTACTTAACCTTACTGTGTTTAGTACACTCTTGATATTTTCTTTTTTTTGGTACTGGGGATTGAACTCAGGACCTTGCACTTGCGAAGCAGGCAGAGGAACCACTGAGCTAAATCCCCAGGCCACACTTGATATTTTCTAATCTATTGTACTATTTATTGTATTTCTTTTTCTTCCCTTTTATTTGTTTTTTTGTTTTTTGGTTTTTTTTGCACCGGGGATAAAACTTAGGACCTTGTGCTTACAAGGCAGTTGCTCTTTTTTGTTTTTTGTTTTGTTTTGGGTTTTTTTGTACCGGGGGTCGAACTTGGGTCCTTGTGCTTGCGCAGCAGGCGATAAAACACTGAGCTGAATCCCTGGCCCAGGTGCTCTTTTTCTTAATTGCTAAGCTGGGCCTTCTAAATTGGTCATGAACAACTAATGGGTTATGTAAAATACTCTGCTAGAACAAACTCTGCCCAAATCCATGGCCATAGTGTCACCATGGAGTGTTTTGTGTGAGGTGAAAGTGTCAGTAAAAATGAAGACTTTCTTATCTTAATAAAAAAAAAAAAATCTAGTGTTACCAATCTGATACTCTTTGGTTTCTTTTCCATTGAAGGTTGATTTCAGTCTTATTCCTTGTGAAAACATGATTAATATAGAAATAAAAGCCAAATGTTTAAATTGATATCATCACTTGATAATAGATGCATACCAATAGGAAATATGGTTAATAAAGACAGTCCTCATTTTTCTACAGCACCATAAACACATTATGCCTTTGGGTTAAAGAATATTAAAAAAGAATTCTACCCCAAATTTTAAAGGAGGAAAAGTCAGAGGCTTTTGTATGTTGAAACAAGTGCACAGTTTGTAGATGTTACCGACATATTAGTATTCACTTATGAAAAATGATTATAGAAAAATCTTTAAATAGAGGGCAAGAAAATATCTTGGTTTTTAAATTTAACCTCCATTTCTTTTGTTTTATCTTGTAACAGTGTGCAAAAAGGTTTGATGAACTGAAGAGCAGTGGCAGCTCACCTGTTGACAACCACTATAATCCCCTAATGGCTGCTGGAGAGAGTCCTATTGAAACTTTAGCCACATACATCAAATCTTCACTTCTTGACACACAGGGAGATTTTCAGGAGACTCCAGTTGGTCAGGATGCAGTTTCCAAAACAGGTAATTTCTTAAAACAAAATTCAATATGTGTCCTTATGATAATTCTGCAAAATTTTGTGTGTTCCAATCAACTTTTCTTTCTGTGTTTACAGGCTAATAAAAACAACATAAAATATATTCATATTTGTATCTTCCTGAATTTTAAAAATTATAACTATTTGCCGGGGATTTAGCTCAGTGGTTTCGCCGCCTGCTGTGCAAGCGCAAGGACCTGAGTTCAGTCCCCGGTACCAAAAAAAAAAAATTATAACTATCTTTGCTATTGTTAAAAAACTTTTTAAAGTGTTAATTTATAGGTCAAACACTATTTCCAAAACAAAATCTTAACTATATCAAAATTTTCAACTCTAGTCTGTTGGCCTAGTTATTTCATATATTGTTTATTATTTGTTATAAATATATATTTACTTTGTTATAAAGGAAATGTGACCTAAACAATACTCAGTTTTTGTTTTTGTTTTGTTTTTGTTTGCTTTTTGGACTGGGAGGGTCTTGCTTATCTCTCATGCAATCTTTTTTACAGCTACTTTTTACTGCAGTTAAGATTTATGTAACACATTAGCAAGGTAGAAGAAATGTTTTCTGCAATTATATTGGAAATAACTGGTTTTAGAAATCCTCAGGGTACTGAGTTAAATCTCATCAGTACCAGTCAGTATTGATATAAAATTTTGCTTATGCTGTTGGGTTTTGGACATTTAACTCTTGTTGATACATTCCACTTCTGTAGTTTTTGAAATATTCATTGTAACATCAGCAACGTATGATCTATTTTTTGTAGTTTTTTCCATATGCCTTTAAAAATATTAATGTTAAAATGAGAAATGCCACCTAAATACCCTCTTTAGCTAGCCTTGGGAATGATGCACTTACAATACATTCAGTAAGTAAAAACCCATTCTTAGCAAGAAATGCTAACCCCCCACCTTTTTTTTTTTTTTGTATGTGTCTGTTTCTGTATTTAAGGAAGACATAGTATAGCTTCCACAAGGAATTGTTCTTCAGAAAGTGAAAATTGTACTACCCATAATGGTGGAGAAAAGACTGAAGAATCTGAAGGGTAGGAGGCTGGTTGTTTGTTAGATAAGATTTAGTATCAACTTTAAATTATAAAATATCACTCATGTTTATATGCATCAGTTGCCATAATTTTTTTTTTTTTTTTGGTTTTTTTGAGTCAGGGACTCCCTTTGTAGCTCAGGGTGGCCCTGAACTGACTATGTGGCCCAGGCTGGCCTTGAACTTGCAGTAATCCTCCTGCCTCAGCCTCCCTAGTGCTGGGATTACAGGCATGTGCCACGACACCCAGTTTTAGTTGCCATAATTTAGGCATTTCATATTATACAATTGCTGAAATAATTGGAATTAGCTTAGTTCATATATTGAATTATAAGCAGTTGCAAAAAACTTAAACATGACTTATCCCTGTTATAATCTAGATAATAGCTTTCCATCTAAAAAATCATTGTCATATTTTTTAAATTAGACATAACATTTAACATAAAACTTTGAAACTTAAGTTTTAATACCCAAAGAAAAATATACCATTAATTTTCCAACTTTATTAAAGAATTTAGATGTTTTAGAACTATTTGAATATAATCATCCAGCAGTTAAAAATTGAAAGAATATATCTTCAGTATGTCATAAGTTTTGGTATTTTGTATTATTTTATGTATTTTGTATAATAAACTGCATGCATTGTATATATTTATTCACTTTGAGTTTTCAAAAATAGGTGTACTATCACCTAAACAAGATACAGAACATTTTTATCATCCCTCAGCAGTTCTTTGTGTACCTTTAGTTTTGGTGGATTTTTAGTAACAGCTTTATTAGTATATAATTTATATATCATAAAATTCACTTTTGGGGTTTTTTTGTTTTGTTTGCAGTACTAGATATTAAGGTCAGGGCCTTCCCCACCCTACCTACCAACTCCCTTTTTTTCTTTTTAAGGCAGGGACTCACTAAGATGCCAAATTTTTAGGGGTGGGCTCAAATTTGCAGTCCTGCTCAGACTCCCAGAGAGCTAGGATTACAGGTGTGCACAACTGCACCCACCTGAAAATTCCCCTTTCTAAAAAAAGTTCTGGAAATGAGTGATGGTGATAATTGAAGAGCAATATTAGTGTTACTTAATGCCACTGAATTGTACACTTAAAAGTGGATAAAAGGGTAAATTTTATGTTATGTGTGTTTTACCATAATTTAAAAAACCTTTGAAAGTATGTAGAGTTCCATGATTGTTAGTTTATTCACATAGATTGGGTTTTTTTGGTGGGGTTAGAGATTGAACCCAGGGCCTTGGGCATACTAGGCAAGTACATCACCACTAAACTATACCCAAATCCTTTTTTTATTTTTTGTCTTTCTTTTTCTTTTTTTTTTTAAATTTTGAGAAAGGGTTTTGTTGTGTTGCCCAAACTGGTCTTTAACTTGCAACCCTCCTGTCTCTACCTCTCGAGTAGCTGATATTATAGGCAGGTGCCACTGCACCTGGCCCACATAGATTTTTTTTTTTTTTTTTTTTTTTTTGTACCAGGATGGAACCCTGGACCTTGTGTTTGTGAGGCAGGCGACAGAACCACTGAGCTAAATCCCTGCCCCATAGATTTTTTTTTTTGGTACCGGGGATCAAACTTGGGTCCTTGCACTTGCGAGGCAGGTGGCAGAACCACTGAGCTAAATCCCTGGCTCCCAGATTTTTTTTTTTAATGTAAAATTTATCTGCATGATACAGAAATTTGCTAGTTACTTTTTTTTCTGGAATTATCTGATAGTTCATTCTATGGTCCAAAAAACCACAGAAACTTTATGTTTCATTATATCAATTATCTGTCTATATTTTTATCATAATTTCTTCGGGAGACAATTTGTGAAAAGTTTTAATTTTGATAGAGCATTGATTATAATTCTTTTTCTGGTAGCACAATTTTATATAAGATGTAATCTTTGTATTCAAAATTTGTGAAGTTCAATTAAATAATAAATTCATATCATAGTACACTTATCTTTCTGTTTATTTTCTTTTTGTAATGACATGAAGGCAGAAGTGGATCATACTATTTGTTTTTGAAGTGATGCAGTTTTGAGAAAAAGTAAATTCAAAGTATATAACTTTTGAAATAGACTTTGATGCATTATCTAAACTTAACTAAATTTTTTAAATGCATAAACATATTGTGGTCCCCAAAATCCCTTTAACTGTATTAGTTTGTATTTGATGAATACCTAAAACCAAATTTTCTTGCTATTAAAAATAAGCCATGCTAATTTTATTTATTTTTTTGTTTTTGTTTTTGCTTTTTGGTACCGGGGATCAAACTTGGGTCCTTGTGCTTGTGAGGCAGGCAGTGGAACCACTGAGCTAAATTGCCGGCCCAGCCATGCTAATTTTAAATTTGACTCCTCAATGAATATTTTTAGCCATTTTTCCTTTTTCAAAAGTAAACATTTTAGTATTTAATCATGGTTAATTCTCTCCCACATCCATAGCAAGGTGAAAGTGCTATCCTATATCTGTCACAGGAATTAAAATATATTATTTAATTTTTCTTTGGGAATTGATGTTTTTTTGTTTGTTTTGTGATACCAGGGATCGAACTCAGTATCTTCTGCTTGCCAGGCAGGCACGCCGCCACTGAGCTACATCCCTAGCCCTATTTTTATTTATTTTATTTATTTATTTTATTTTATTTTATTTTATTTTTTGGTACCAGGGATTGAACTCAGGTCATTCCGCTTGCACAGCAGGGGGCAAAACCACTGAGCTAAATCCCCACTCCTATCCCTGGCCCTATTTTTATAAACTTTATATGTAAGATGTGACTTGAAAAATCCCTTCAGTAATTTTTATTTGCAATTTTACTAAGTAACTTTCTAAAATCAGTCATAACCTTAGATATAGTCACGTTAGCAAGATACTTAAAAATTTCTGCATGTCAAAATCCTATAAAACTCATTTGTGGTCAGAAATATTTTTAAAAACCTGTTCTTTTACCTCCAATAAATGTCAGTATTCTTAGGTCCTCTCCTAAAACTCTAATTATTTGATTTCTGTGTAACATTTTTTATGAAGGCCAAACATGGTGATTCATGTATGTGATGAAGGAAAAAACTTGAAAGAAGATTTTATTTGCCCACGAGATCTTTTGATATCAGAAATGAAGTACTTTGCTGAATATTTATCTATGGATGCCCAGCGCTGGGAAGAGGTGGACATTTCAGTTCATTGTGACGTTCACATTTTCAACTGGTTGATAAAATACGTTAAAAGGAACACTAAGGAGAATAAAGATTGTGAGATGCCCACTTTAGGTAAAAGACAATCTGTTGCTTTGTTTTATGGTGAAATTTCCATGTCAACTGATAGTTGTTTTAGGCCATAAATGAAATATAGAAAATTATTTGAACATTAGTATCTTGGAAACTGATACTTCATATGTTTTTAGAAATTAAGTTATTTACTAAATAAAATTTAGTAGGTTTACTATCTATGCCCAAAAAACAGGTTCCTAAGTCAGCAGTTCTTAACATATTATATGTGGACCACTGCAATCCTGGAGACCATTTTAGAGGATCTACAAGGTTAAAACAATTTGCACGATAATATCAGGATGTTACTTTTTTTACCATATTAAGTTTTGCTCAAGTGATGTAAAGGCAATGATGAGCAAAACTGTTGGAGCCGTAGTATAAATCAAGATAGGGACACCAAACTGTACTAGTAGTCATTGTAGTCTTTAACACCATGCACTCATCATTAGAAAGGAATAAAAGAAAAAAATGTCAGTTCAATTAAGAATGTCCTTGAAGCAGTAAAAATTTCTAATTTTTAAATCTTGAGTATGCACTGTGTGGTGAAGGGGGAAGTACATGTCTTTCAATGTGTGATGGTTGTCTTGAGAGAAAGCATTTTGGAAAACTTACCTGCTTCCATGTGCACGACTGCTTCTCGATCGATACTCAAAAGACTAAACTAGGCCCCAGACACCTGTGATCCCAGCACTCGGGAGGCTGGGGCAGGAGGATCACTGTGACTTCAAGGCCAGTCTGGGCTATATAGAGTTCAAGGCCAGGTTTGACTACATAGTAAGACCCTGTCTCAAAAAAAAAGGACTTTTCTAATGAGATCTGATTGATGACCATATTAATGAATGTGATTTGATTTTTTTTTTTTTTTTAACTGAAGGTTGAAAACAGGGCCTTCACACTGAACTCATACTTGGCCCTTTTTATTTTTTTATCTTGTAATAGGGTCTCATTAAGTTGCCCAGGTGGGATTCAAACTTGCAATCCTCGGGCTGAGCATGATGGCGAATTCCTGTAATCCTAGCACTCGGGAGGCTGAGGCAGGAGGATCACTCTCAGTTTGATGCTGGCCTGGGCAACATAGTGATTTCAGGACCACTCTGAACTACATAGCAAGACTCTATCTCCAAAACAAATTGCAATCCTCCTGCCTCAGCCACCCAAGAGCTGGTATTAGAGATGTGCTGCACCATAAGAAATGTGATTTTTTTTTTTTAAGACAGAGTCTTGCTATGTAGTTCAGGGTAGCAATAAAATTGCTATTTACATCAGTTTCAAAATATTTTTAAACTCTTATAGTAAATTATACTGACAGTATAAAAGTTTTCTGAATATAATTTATTATAGTGACCAAATTAATGGGGAAGGTCCTTACAAGATTTCTAAATCATAATTTTCAGCCAGAGTTCAGAGATTCCAAGCTATCTAGCTATGATATGTATATGTGAAACATACAGTATGTAAAGAAAAAAATATCATTTGATCTGGCACATTTTTGTGTGAAGTAATAGAAAAATAGACAGAGAAAATCTAGCCATTCTCTTATCTTTGACCTTAAGTCAGTGATAACATGTAAATTTTTATAAAAATAAACATTATTCTAACCAGGAAAAGTGTTAACATGCCTAATTGAATCTCTAATAATCCAGCCACTGGTTCTTAACTGGATTGTTAATTTTCTAAGGTGCTTTCACACCAGCTTCTTCCTTTTACCATTTCCGTTTGAGAAACTTTAAGCTAGAACTGTTAGGTAAAGATTGGGATCACTTTTTAATGAAGATTTCTAATATATGATTGTTGTACTATAACAGTGAAAAATCACAGTGTTTTCTTCTTAAATATACTTTATGGGCAGTGACAGACTTCCTAAAATATAATGTCAAACAGCATCCCCCTTTCCCTGTCTTTATGTCTGAAGATTCATTCAGTATGCCTTAGGAAGTAACTTCAGCACTTCTGCAGTAGTAATTTGAGTATGTGTGTTTGTGTGTGTGTGTGCGCGCGCGCGTGCGCACACGCGCTACTGGGATTGAACTCAAGGCCTTCACACTGAGCACAATCCCCAGCCTTTAAAAAATGTTTTTTTTAAATATTGAGACAAGGCCCTTCTAAGTTACTAATTTGCCCTGCCTGAGCTCTAACTTGCAATCCACTGGGATAACAGGCAGGCATCTCCGTACCCAACTAGTAGTAAATTCCTTATTACTTTTAAGAATTTTAAAAATTCATAATAACCATTGAACTCTTTTGTAAAATATCTTTCTTAATAACAAATGCTCTTGTTAATTACTTTTTAAAGTTTTCCTGTGGCCGGGGATTTAGCTCAGTGGTTCCGCTGCCTGCCTTGCAAGCGCAAGGTCCCAAGTTCGATCCCCGGTACCAAAACACCAAAAACTAAAGTTTTCCTCTGTGACTTTGGCATATGTCATACCTTTAGCTGGAGTCCTTAGTTACTATGACTTAATTCCTGGGCAGATTTACTATGCATTTTTCTCTGTATTCTAAGTTTTAACTTAGAATTTTCTTCCTTTTGTATATCTAAGCTTTATGATATAAGTGAAGTTATATTAAATTGTTCTTATTAAAGTAACATCTTTTTTGAAGGTAAGAAGGAACCTGTTGTGAGGAGACTAATAAAAATCAAAAGGAATTTTAATTTCTTTTTTTTTTAGAACCAGGAAATGTCATTTCAATTCTTATTTCTTCAGAGTTTTTGAAAATGGATTCACTAGTAAGTATTAATTTTTAAAATCCAATCTTTTCTAGATCCAGGGATTTACCTCAGTGGTTCTGCTGCCTGCCTTGCAAGCACAAGGACCTGAATTCGATCCTCGGTACCAAAAAAAAAAAAATCCAATCTTTTCTATTCACTTAGGGTTTTCTCCCTTCAAATATCTGAGAAATTCTCAGATATTTTATTAGAATAGTTAATTCAAGAGTGTAATTTTAATTGAAATACATTGCTCATGTTTGGAAATACTTTGTTCTGTTAGGAAAAGATTAAGACTGCTAGGTATCATTTATATGTCATGCATATAAATGATGTCATGTGTATAAATAATATATGTTATACTTATAAAGCAAGCAGTTACTCCTCAAAGAGTAGCTCACTGTTGTAGTAGGTGTGACTGAAGATTAGCTTTACCTCAGACAGGATTTTTCTTACCCCAAATTAAATGAAAAATAAAACATGCTTTGCTATTTAAATGGTTTTTTTTTCCTGTACCAGGGATCAAACTCAGGACCTTGAACTTGCTAGGCAGGCGTGGTGCCACCAAGCTATATTAGCAGCCTTTAAATGATTTCTTTAATCATGATTTGCTTTTATCTCTTTATAGTTCATTGAGTGAAGAACAAATATCCAACTATATAATTTTATGTTTGCATCACTGCAACATATTTATTGCTTAAGAGTAGCTAATGAGAGAAAAAAGTACAATATATAGATAAATATACATTTCAAGCTCTAACATTAAATATATTTGCTTTTTTTACTTAATAAATTTATCATTCAAATGATTTTTATATATGTTTGTGGTTGATATTTTCTGGTTAATATTTAAAGAAATACTTACTTTTAGCTCCTGATAAAACTATACAGAGCAGAATACTACTTTGCTATATTGGCAGATGAGAAGTTTGTTTACTTGAATATTTGGAGTTTTGCTAGTTTTACTGGTTACTGTGCTTTCTACCTTTTGGTCCCTTCCTGTTTAGCCAGCTGGTATTACTTTTTTCAGGCAAGGGCAATGGAAGAAAAGCAGAGATTAAGAGTCCTTAAAGAATTTTCACGCTGTCAGCAAAATATTTGGGAGAATATGTGACTAACTTCTCTTTTAAAGTAATAAATAACTTGAGGTTGAGAAGAGGGGAAGAAATGCAGAGAGCAAACCTAGCACAACTGAGAAAGTCCTTAAATGACTTAAAGGTTTGTTTCTGAGACCTAGAGAAACAGAGGCTTAATTATAACTAAGTTTGCTGAGGATGGTGGCACACACTTGTAATGTCAGCACTTGGGAGGCTGAGGCAGGAGGATCACTGTGAGTTTGAGGCCAGCCTAGGCTACGTAGTGAGTTCAAGACCTGCCTGGACTATACAGTGAGACCCTGCCTCAAAAAAACAGACAGAAATTCAGTTAGAGGAATTTACCTGGTATATAGACTAAAATATATACTTGCCCCAACTACAAAAAAATTATTATTATTTGCAAAAGAAAGGTTAGAAAATAATTTTCCTAGGTTCATGTGTATATGCATATGTGGTTACAAATTTGACCTGTAAGACCACTTTGGAATAGGTTACATTAACCCAAATAGATAAAACTAAGTTAAGTTAATACATGGATTAGGCTTTTAATGAATTTTAGGTTTAAAAGGTATTGTTATGACATTATCCTTTGTGCTATCATTTTCAACATTCACTTCTAATTTTTTTTTAGGTAGAACAATGTATTCAGTACTGCCACAAAAATATGAATGCCATAGTAGCTACTCCATGCAACATGAACTGTATTAATGCAAATCTTCTTACACGAATAGCTGATCTGTTCACACATAATGAAGTTGATGATTTAAAAGACAAAAAAGATAAGTTTAGGAGGTAATTTTAAAATTTATTTTTAAACCTAATGTTCCTGTTAAAAGAAATATATTTCTCTATAATTTAGTGAAATTCTGTTTTTAGAATATATTTAGAGCCGAGCAAGGTGGTGCATGCCTATAATTCCAGCACTCAGGAGGCTGAGGCAGGCCTCAGTGAGTTTGAGGCCAGCCTGGGCTACATAGTGAGACTTTGTCTGTGTGCATATATATATATATATATATTTTTTTTTTTTTTTTCTTAAGTGAACAGCCAGTAGCCTGTGGTAAAAATTAGTATTTTGTATAGTGAACATATAAATATATGGTGGTAGTGAAATACATAAAATATTTAAAACTAGCTTTAGTGTAAACAGTGTTACGAGGTCAGCAGTAGTTATATCATTTAGACGCTGTTTAGATCAAAGTGAGGAGAATATGCCTTATTCTAGCTGTGAATGAAGAGGGGAAGTGACATAATCTCATCTCTTTTGAAAAGGTGATTCTGGCTGCTATATGAAAGATAAGACTTTAGGGGTACAAGAAGCAAGGAGAACTATGAGGAAGTTAATATAGCACACTTGTGAGAACTGGAAGGGTTTGGATTAGGGTAGAAGCAGTAAAGCTAGAAAAAAGTAGATGGATTCAGTGTATGTTATTAAAAGGATTTGACAGATTTGTGAATGTGATGGTGTGGGAAAAGAGGATTTCAGGATAATTACTAGGTTTTTAGCTTGAGCAACTGAATGGATGGTACTACCACTAATGGAGAAAGGAAAGAGTAGGAGGGGAAGGATTGGAGTGAGGCAAATAAAGAGGTGAACTTGGGTCTTGTTGAAACATTTAATATACTTCTTTGACATCCAGATGAAATAGTTGATAGGTAGTTGGATATGTTAATCATAAATTTAGGTTAGAGGTCAGGGTTTAAAATAGAAACTTGAGAATAGATGAGATTTGAAACAGTGGAACTGAATGAGATTTCCTAGTGAGAGACCATCGTATTTTTTGTGTCCTATTCAAGAAACCTTTGCCTACTCGAAGTCAGTGAAGGTATTCTGTGGGGTTTTTTTTCCCTATTATTTATCTTGAATTTGTGTGTGTGTGTGTGTAATACAAAGGAGGGTCAAAGTTCTTTTTTTTCCCTAAATACGTATCTAGCAGACAGATCACCATATATCGAACAGACCATCCTTTCCCCACTGAATTGCAGCACTTTTACTATAAATCAGCTGACTGGGCTGGGGATTTAGCTCAGTGGTTTCCCCACCTGCTGCGCAAGCACAAGGACCCGAGTTCGATCCCCGGTACCAAAAAAAAATAAAAATGAAAATGAAAAAAAATAAATCAGCTGACTGTGACTGAGCTGTTTCTCAGTTCTCCATTTTGTTCTGTTGATGGCCTATCCTTAAATTAGTAGCACATGTCCTTACTTATGGTAGCCTTAAAATAATTTTTGGAGTCTACCAATCTAGATTCTCCCTCACCTCCACCTTTCTTCAAGATTGCTGTACAGCCTTTTTAGGTCCTTGGCACTGACATATAAATTTTATAATCACCTTGTCTATTTTCTGTTTTACACACACACCTGCCAGAATATGGGGTTAATATAAAATCAGTTTGGGAGTTGTTACTCTCTTGATAATATTTCGGTACAACCCTTCATTTATTTGGATATTCTGTAATTTATCTCAGTGTCTTATTTGGTGGGGTTTAGAGTAATTCCCCTTTTTTAAATTAAACTTATTCCGGGGCCGGGGATTTAGCTCAGTGGTTCCACCGCCTGCCTTGCAAAGCACAAGGACCCGAATTCGATCCCCATTACCAAAAAAAAATTAAACTTATTCCTAGGTATTTAATTTTCAGTGCTATTGTAAATGCTGTTCTTATTTTATTTTGTAATTGTTAACAAAAGGCTACCCAATATTTAGAGGTTCAACAGAATAGCCGCCAATGAAAGGCCTAGGGACAAGGAGCCAGTGAAGCAAAGAAGGCAAAGGGGAAGAAGGTTTCAAAAGGAAGAAGCAATTAAGTGACCAAAGGTGTAGAATTCTGCTGCCATGTAGAGTAAGATGAAGACAGATGTGATTGATTGGATTTAGAAAACTTTTTTCCCGATGTTTTGCTTGAATAGTTGCCAAAAAAATACAGCAGCAGCTATTTAGGGAAAGGAAGGATATTTTTAAACATCAGAATTTTTAAAATAATCAGGATGATTCATTAAAGAGGAAGAAATTGATAATACAGAAGATTATCCAGAAATTTAGTCTTTAAGGAAAGTGAGACAGTGGAATAATCCAAGAGCTAAATACTTGAATGTGGTAATGGAATCCTAAATCCAAATTTGGCCTTTATGACCGACAGACAGAGGGAGAGAAACAAGTGGAGGGGAATTAAGATGTGTTATGTACAGGTCAGGGATTTAGCTCAGTGGTTTTGCTCCCTGCCTCGCAAGCACAAGGTCCCAAGTTCAGTCCCCGGTACCACCCCCCCAAAACAAAACAAAACAAAACCAGATGTGTTATGTATGTGTACTACCAATAACATTCCATGATGTATGTAATCATTAAATACTGCAAACACATATGTACTAATAAAAATTAAAATTGAAAAAAACACAGCACCAGACATTGCATAAGGGAGACTAGAGATAGGCAGGACATACGTTTAGAGTTAATGACACACTTAGGAGACTTCAAGTTCAGTTATATTATGCCTAATAATAAAGTAGCTAACGTTCGTTTAATTTTAACACTATGCCTGGCATTCTAAAAATACTGTATCATTTAAACTTCATAAAACCTTATGACTTTGGAATTATTAACCACTTTTTTTTTAGAAAAATTTCAGAGAGAAGGTTGCTAAGAATCATATACCTAATTATTGGTAGACTTGGATTGCTAAATTCTCAAAATCTTTTAAATATTCCAGTAATGAATAAAGAGAGGTAGATATTTATCAATCTTATTTTCTGGTAAAAATAGATTCATTATCAAGCAGTTTTTATTAGATTTTTTTCTCTTAGTACACCAAAATGTATTATAAACTCCCCAAGAGCCTAAGTATTTATTCATCTTTTGTTACACATGTATAAGTAGAATTTATTTTTATCACTGTAAAGTATCTTTAATAAAGCAAATATAGGCATTAATTTGTTGGTCATTTGTTAATAGTAAACTTTTTTGTAAGAAGATTGAGAGACTGTTTGATCCTGAGTACTTGAATCCAGATTCTCGGAGTAATGCAGCAACGTTGTATAGGTAATGTGTTTTTCCTTTGGTATTCTACATAATGTAGCTGTACTCTTCAAATTGCAACATTTAAATTTTTATTCCACTTTTTTACCTTTTCTTTCTTAAAGATGCTGTTTGTGTAAGAAACTTTTAACAAAAGAAACAGAAAGAAGGATTTCTTGCATTCCTGGAAAAATCAATGTGGATCGACATGGAAATATCATCTATATTCATATAAGGTATACTGAAGATAAAATACAGCTTTTCTATGTGAATTACTAGTGTATTTATAAAAACATAACTGCTTTTATAAGAAATAGGATAGTGTCTTTCCTGCACATGATATGCCTTTTATTTAGAGAGAGATTACTTTCAAAACAAAATTGTTGTAAAAGCTACATTTTATTTACTGGCTATACTTCATAATATCTTTAAATTTCAAAATGGTAAAAATTATTGTATTTTAATCTTGAAATAGATTCTGGTCAGTGACATTAATGTGATTTATTTTCAGCAATAGATTTAGTTACTTATAGAAGTGTTGTAGCTGGGGGTAGTGGCACACGCCTTTAATCCCAGCACTTGGAGGCTGAAGCAGGAGGATCAATGTGAGTTTGGGGCCAACCTGGGCTACATTGTGAGTTCAAGGCCAGCCTGAACTGCATAGTGAGACCCTGTCTCAAAAAACAAACAAACAAATAAAACAAAAGCTGTTAATCAAAACCAGACTGTTTCTGTATAGGTAAGTACTTAGCAAATCTGACTTGAGGCATCAAGGGATACTGAAGATGGTTAGGGTACATTGGGCACAAGAGTCATCCAGATGCATATTAATTATCTATAGGTTCTCGTTCTGAGTTGTAGAAAAGGTGTTGTAAGTTGATATAATGTCTCAGGAAAGAAAAAACTTTAAAAGGTATGTATTCTTAATAATACCTTACTGTTAGGAATTTATCCAAAGAGGTAAGATTGGCTTTGTGAATGCATTTAATAAGGACATTCATTGGTTTATGAAATATATTAACTAGCCAAAAAAAAGAAAGATAATACACAAATGATTAAATAAAATACATCCATGCATGTGTAGCTGTAGAAAACACATCTAATCAATTCTTTTTTTTTCGGTACCGGGGATTGAACTCAGGATCTTGCACTTGCAAGGCAGACATCTAATCAGTTCTTAACGTGCAGCCTTTATGAATTATGTTGGAGAAAAATAATACTTACCTGGGAAGTCATTAGTGGTACATTTTTAAAAATAGGGATAGGATATAAAACAACTGGCAACATGTTCACTTTGTCAACCTTGAAATGTCTTCATTTTTCTCTCAATATAATAATCAGGAAATCTTCATTAGTTATTGTAAGCACTTGAAAGCTTATTCTTTTTTTGTCTTGAAATTTGATTCACCTTTTGAAAATTACTTCCATTCTAACACCAATAACTTTTTTCCTTAGTGCTGGGAGCTGAACCCAAGGCTTTCTCATTGAGCTACATCTCCCAGCCCTTTTTAAATTTTTTTATTGAGACAGGGTCTTGCTAAGTTGCTAAATTGCCCAGGCTGGGCTCAAACTTATGATCCCCCTGCCTCAGCCTCCAAGAGTGCTAGGATTACAGGCATGTACCACATGCTCAGCTCTGACAGCAACAATTATTAATACCGGTAGTAGTATGTGAAAAAAAGTAATTGCTACTACTTAGCAAGGGCTGGTTTCAAAATTAAAAATAAAAGCAGCTGGTAATATAGCTTCAACATCCATTTTTGTTGTTTTATTCAACAATGGTTGATGCATACATTTGAAAAGTTGTTTTCAACTTTAAAAATAGACGTGCTTCCATAATTTGTAATAACATGATGTCATTTTGTTATTTGTTGAACTAAACACAAAAATAGCAGATGTTAATAAAAGATTAAAATAGAGACTTAAAAAGTATAGGAACTTGAGTTATAAATGGTCATAGTAAATACAATTTAAAGTCTTTGCCATATTTAATTTTAAAATGTATTTTACAGCTGGATGTGGTGGTGCATGCCTGTAATCCCAGCAATTTGGGAGACAGAAGCAGGAGGATCCCAAGTTCAAACCCAGCCTGGGTAACTTGGTAACTTAGCAAGACTCTGTCTCAAAATAAAAAATAAAAAGACCTGGGGGTGTAACTGTGTGCAGAGGCCTTCGGATCAATCCTCAATAACCGCTCCCCAAAAAAGTATTTTACTAAGACTTGTTTGCATATTATAGTGTTGCTCAGTTATTAAAAAGTGCTGTTTGGAAATAACGTAAAAAACCAAAACAGTAATGAAAGTCTAGAGTCACCAGTACTGTAACAGTAGCATGTCACAACATAATCCAGTTAGAATAAAGGTTTCATTTAATGCCTAAGTCTCAATTATTGATCTGTTCAAATTTAATTAATAATTAACAGTTAACAAATAGCATTCAGCTTTTTGTACCTTCTTACATTGTTCAAAGAATAAACTTCCAAATGAAATTCTATCTCTGAGGTGTGGTCAAAAGCTACAGTGAATGTTTAAATTTAAAAATAATATATATTACAGAGGAAGATATATTGCCATTAATCCCCCTCGCTTTGAACACACTCATCCCATTGTTTTGCCACTTTTTGAAGCAGTCCTGGAAGTTCTTTTTCTTAAATATCTTTGGTTGTGCTGTCGTGGCTTCCTTGATGTCCTGAATGGATTCAAAACATTTACCTTTCATGATCATTTTGACTTTGGGGAAGAGCCAGAAGTTGCACATGGTGCTAGATCGGGTCAGTAAGGTGAATGAGGATGCACCATAATGGATAGACCAGTCTCCCTTTCTTTGGATGTCACACAGCAGCAGCCTTTACTGTATTTTTGATCACACCTTGAAAAGAAGAATTCCAGAACTGCCTCAAAAAGTGGGAAAAATAATGAGATAAATGTGTTCAAAATAAGGGGAGTATTTCGAGGGGAATTAATGATAATATGACCTTTACTGTAATAATTTTTAAAATTTAAACATTATTGTATATTTTGATAGCCCTTGTATTTTTCACTGTAGTCCATACAACACAATCATTTGAGGAATATTTGTGGAAGCAAGCCACAAATTTTTAAAAAGCATTTATTTGAAACCAATTATTTATATTGCTTGTTTGTAAAATAATATAACAATTGAGGCTCTTTCCCCAGAGATAAGACTTGGGATGTTCATGAGTATTTGAATAGTCTTTTTGAAGAATTAAAATCTTGGAGAGATGTGTATTGGAGATTATGGGGAACAGTCAACTGGCTGACTTGTTCAAGGTGTTTTCAGGTGAGATTTCTTTTTTAATATCCTGTTCTCCAAACATTAAAAGCAAATATCTTGGGGGAGCATGCATGGTGGGCTGGGCGGCCAGCCCCTCCCCTAGCGAGGACTCGAGCATAAGAGGCCATGTGGAAAAGGGCAAGTTAGGTGACTGCTGCCACCACAGTTTGTCGCCAGGAGGAAGACGGTAGATCTGGAGGAGCAGCCATCTGATGAGGAGAAGGTATGTATAGCAGCAAAATTCATCATTCATGCCCCTCCTGGAGAGTTTAATGAGGTTTTTGATGATGTTCGGTTACTGTTTAATGATAATCTTCTCAGGGAAGGAACAGCCCATATATTTGCACAGTATAACTTGGGCCATTTTACTCCAATAAAAATTGAAGATTACATAGCTTAGGTATTGATAACAGAACTTGGCAATTTGGGAAATGGAAAGTAAATCCAAAGAACAGAATCTGTTTCAAATGTGATCACTTAAGACAGGAAGTGAGCTAGGTGTGGTGGTGCATCTCTGTAATCCCAGCACATGGGAGGCTGAGGCAAGAGGATCACAGTGAGTTCGAGGTCACCCTGGGCTACATAGTGAGTTCAAGGCCTTACAAACTGAGACCCTGTCTCAAAAAAGAAAATAAGCAACTGATCCAAGGCCCTGTGAAGCAGAAAATATAATTGAATCATGGAGAGCTTCTGTAGAAACTGCACTATGAGCATACATAAAAGAACATTACCTGTGGCTAGGCGTGATGGCGCACACCTGTGATCCTAGCATTCAGGACACTGAGGCAGGAGAATTGCTGCAAGTTTGAGACCATCCTGAACAATATAGTGAGACCCTGTCTCAAAAAACTAAAAAGGAAGAAAGAAAGAACATTACCCAAATTGGGTCTGCACTGTGTATGGTAGAAAAAAATAGATGGCCAGCAAACCATTATTACATGCATAGAAAGCCATCAAGACAGTTCCAAGCAAAACACTTGGAATGGTCATTGGAGGTCAGAGTGGAAGTTTACAATTATTCCTTCAACCACTCAGATGGTTGGCATCTTGAAAATTCAGGTTCATTATGAAGATAGTAATGTTCAGCTAGTAAGTCATAAAGGTGTACAAGATTCTATAACAGTGTCTAATGAAGTAAAAATAACAAAACAATTTGTAAAGATTGTATAAGCTGCAGAAAATGAATACCAGACTGCTGTCAGTGAGAATTATCAGACAATGTCGGACACTACTTTCAAAGCCTTGCATGGAGAGTTGCCAGTTACATGTACTAAGATTGATTGGAACAAAATCCTCAGCCATAAGATGGGCAAAGAAATGCAGAATGCATAAAATGAACCATTTTAGTGTCTTTGCATTAAAAAAATTACTGCAAAAATATTCAGAACTGTCAAGCTGCCCAGATTGCTGGGCTGTTGCCATTTAAAATCAGTGTAATTAGTTTGGTTAGAGCACAAAACTTAGCTAATCAACTATTATTTTCATTACTTTTATTTGAAGAGGACTGAAAAACATGAGTTTAGTTTAAATGTCTTTTACTTTTTATTCCTTTCTTACAATGAAGAGATGATTCCCTAGTTTATGGTTAAACTTTTTTTTTGGTACTGGGGATCGAACTCAGGTCCTTGTATGGTTAAAATTTTTGAGGTATTACAAAAATATTTTGCTTAATATAACCCTAAAATTGTTGTCTTTTGGCTTATGAAATGGGGAACTTTTTATATTCTTTTTATTTTATTTTATTTTATTTTTGGTACCAGGGATCGAACTCTGGACCTTGCGCTTGCGAGGCAGGCGCTGGAACCACTGAGCTAAATCCCCACCCCCTATATTCTTTTTAATCGGGTCAGTAATAGACATTGTAGTATAAGGTGGTTGGTGGACTTAGCCATATATGCTACTAAAGAAATTGTCTGTCTTTACCCTCTCACCTCTTGCATTTAGGTAGGATTGAGATTAGAAGAAAAGCAGTTTCTGGATCAATTGTACTTAAACCTTTCAGTAGGTTATTTAGCTACCTTAGTGTTATAACTAAGGTTTTTTTTAAAACAGGGCCAGGGTCTATTTTTATTTTGAGATTTTGAAATTAAGGAAAATACTGATTTCAGAAATGCATTTAATGCTTTTTTTCTTGTAACAGTTACTCAAATTAGCTTGAATTCCATATGGCCCTGAGTTATTTTTATCATAAAGCTGCAAATTTAGTATAACAAGGCAAATTATAATATATACAAACCTGAATTCATGACCATGTGTCATTTTATTTTTTTCCTTGGATTGAAATGTACTGAAATTCAGTGTGACATTAAAGTGCAAACTTTCCTACTAAAAAAAAGTGAGTATTTTTGATATTTGTTTAAATTACTATGTTTTTATGTGTTTGGACAGTAAAGCAACTAGTGGCTGAAGTAGTGATGCTGTTAAACAGTGCTTTCATCTTTCGTTTCTCTTGCCATGTTTCTTCCTCCTCTTATTTGTTTTTATTGCTGAAATAAACCTTTGCTGGAAAAAATTGTTTTAAAAAACAGGTTTTATCAGTGGCACCACACCTGCCTCACAAGCACCAGGTCCTGAATTTGATCCCCATACCAAAAAACAACAACAAAAAAAACAGGTTTTAAGTGACCAAATCCATAAAATCATTATTACCTTAAATTATTTGCAACCAAATTATTTTCCCATTGGCCCATAAATTCCCCACCCCTTGCTGGGTACTCGGGCTTGAACCCAGGGCCTTTGTACTGAACTGTATCCCCAGGCCCCCCATCCCCGTTTTTTGCTTTTAATTTTGAGATGGAGTCCTACTAAGTCACTAAATTGCCCAGGCTTAGCTTGAATTTGGAATTATCCAGCCTCAGCTTCCTAGAGTGCTGGAATTACAGGAAGGTACCATCACCCTTGGGTTCCATTAATTTCTGTGGAAATTCAAAAGCACCTTTGCAGATAGAGATGGGTTGCAACTGATCTGTGCTCTTTTGGTTATAGCAGTTGTGTTCCCAAAAAAGTTTTGCTCTTTTTTTTTTTGTTCTGTTTTCATTGCTGAGGATCTGACCCAGGGCATTGCCCACTGAGATGTCTCCCCATCCCTGTCCATTTTTTATAAATGAAGTCTGAAATAAAAGTAGGAGAAAGTTTGTTACTTGAAGGAACCTCTGTTTATAGAATAAATAGGTCTTTATAAGTTCCAGTCATTCTTAATTAATCTAATGTACAAATCCAGAGTTTTCCATATCCAATTTATGAATCCTGAAAATTTTTCTTCCCCTAGAAATTTTTCTTTCCTACTTGGATAATGATTTTGAATAGAGGGTTGAAGAGCAGTTTATCAAACCATGAGTGGAATTTCAGACCATAGAAGGCTCCACCCAGTGGGCTGCCTGTGTTTCCACAATTTTTTTTTTTTTTTCGTACCAGGGATCGAACTCAGGTCCTTGCGCTTGTGGAGCAGGCGGCGAAACCACTGAGCTAAATCCCTGGCCCCACAATTTTTAAAATCAGGTTTATTGGAGTATATTTTACATACTGTGAAATTTGGCTATTTTTTAAGTTGATAAATGCATATGGTGATGTTGCTATCACTGCCATCAAAGCACAGAACACCGCTGTTACCCTAACTCCCTATGCTGTTTTGTAGTCAGTTACTTCTTGCCAGGAAGAAGTCTCTGTCAGCATCTTCTCTGTTTTCTGTGTATAGTTTTGCTCTTTCCAAGCAATGTTAGATAAATAGAATCACACAGTATTTAGCTATTTGGGTCTTGCTTCTTTTACTTAGAAAAATGGATTTGAAATTGATATGTGTCATCAGTTTGTTCCTTTTTATTGCTAATTAGCAGTGTATTTTATGAATATATCATAGTATGTTTATTCATCAGTTGAAGGACATTTGATTTTATTAGTGTAGTGTAGTGTAGTGATTCTGTTCTGGGGCCATTATGAAGAAAGCTACTGTAATTGTTTCCATATAAGTTTTCCTATAGGCATAGGTTTTTACTTCTCTTAAGCAATTACTTAGAAGAAGGACTTCTGGGTTATATGATAAATGTAAGTTTACCATTTACCATGCCTAACTGTTTTCCTAAGTTCCAGAATCTTTTTACATCCTACCAGTTATGTACATGAATTCTGGTTGTTCCATATATAACACTTGATATTGACCATTTTGTTTGATCTTTATTTTTGCTACTCTTAATTTAATTTTTAATTTGTTTTGGTCTTTGAATTTTTTACCAGCTTATATACATATTAGAAACCTGATTACTAATTATATAACTAAACCATAATAATAACTCAAAGTTAATGGGCCACAGTTTTCATTAATACTGATGCTAAATAATTAAAATATATCAGAATAATCAAGTGAGAAGTTTTTTTCATATTTCTTTGAGATGACTGGACAGTTATAAAATTGGATGTGCCAGATGTAGTGGTGCACATCTCTAATCCCAACACTCTTGAGGCTGAGACAGGATTGCCTCAAGTTCATGGCCAGCCTGGGGTATATAGTGACTTCAAGGCCAGCCTGAAGTACATGACAACACCCTGTCTCAAAAAACAAAAATAAAGGGCTGCCCGGGGATTTAGCTCAGTGGCGCCGCACCTGCCTCACAAGCACAAGGGCCTGAGTTTGATCCCCAGTACTGGGAAAGAAAAAAGAAAAAAAATAGAATTAATGCTGGGGTTTTAGCTCAGTGGTGCCACCACCTGCCTCGCAAGCACAAGGACCGGAGTTCGATCCTTGTACCAAAAAAAAAAAAAAAGAAAGAAAGAATAGGATGTATACTAAGGTCAATTTAATTCATTTGAATTTTGAATATAGTGGTTTTATTGAGGTATAATCACATACTGTAAAATTTACTCATCCCAAATATGTGATTCACTGATTTTTCAGTAAAGTTTCACTGTTGTGTGACAATTGCCACCATTCAATTTTATTATATTTCCATTACTGCAGAAAGATCCTCCACTCCCAGTTCTTCCAGTCCCTGGCAAGCACTAATCTACTTTGAGGCTCTGTATATTTTATGTAAATGAGACATATAAAATGTGGTCTTCAGTAAAGCATATTTGAGATGTGTAATTTTATTGTGAGAATAACTGCTAATTTCATATTTTTTTACCCAGGCTTTTCTCTGTATTGAATTTTCACATTGTCAGTACCACTCAGAAATGATAGTTTATCCCACTGCAGCGAGTTCACTGAGTGCTGCTGGCACTGGAATTTACCCTTGCTGTAACCAAAAAGTTCTTCGGTTTGATCCTACTCAGCTTACAAAGGTAAACTGTGAATATTGCCTTTTTTGTAGTTGCAGCACTCCTGAACATTAATGTTTTCTTCTTTTATTGTTCTTAAAGTTTAAAGTAATACGTTCATGTAGAAAAGACTTCAGACAGTACATAAATGAGCATTGGAAAAAATAGAAGTCCCTCTTTATACCGTTCCCCCAGTCTCCCTCTCCTTAGGGGTAACCACAATTCCTTTCAGACCTTTTTACATTGTAGGCACAAATTATTTGTACTATTTGCATATTTCATATGGGATCATACTACTCATTTTATAATTTGCCTTTTTCACTCAACAATACACTTAGGTTATCTTTTGGTGTCATTTTATGTAAGTACTGGGTAATAGCCTGAGCTATGCATGTTCCACGACTTTTTTTTTATGGATACCAGGGATAGAGCTCAAGAACTTGCACTTGCAAGGCAGGCAGTGGCACCACTGAGCTAAATCCCCGGCCCCATAAAGTGTCACAGTGCCATGAATCTATTTTTTTTTTTCCAGTACCAGGGATCAAACTGAGGACCTTGTGCTTGCGAGGCAGGCGTGGCGCCACTGAGCTACAGCCCTGGCCACAACTTTTTTAACATTTCTCTCACTTTTAAACATTCTCCTATTATAAACCTGTTTCCACATCACTGTTGAAATGAACATCTTGGTATAATATGTGAACACTACTATAGGTTAGATTCCTTGATCACTACTATAGGTTAGATTCCTTGTCATGTCATTAAATTTCATGAGTGAATGAAAGGAACCTAAAGTTCATCATCATCATCATCCATACAAAAAATATTTATAAACCACCAAAGGTGAGCCATACACTCTTATGTGTGTGGTGTGGGTTGAGAAATGACCACTTAGCAATAAATCTAAAATACGTCCAAGTACTCCATACAAAAAACAAAACATTATTGAGAGAAAATAAAGAAAAGTTTAAAAATACATCTTTCTGGGCCAGAAATTTAGCTCAGTAGTTCCATGGCCTGCCTTGCAAGCGCAAGGACCAAAGTTCGATCTCCACTACCAAAAAAGAAAAAATACATCTTTCTATCATGTTTGGAAGACTCCATATTGTAAAGATATAAATGCTTCCTAAACTGACATATATAGGTCAAAATCCTACAAATCAATGTGAAAAAAAACCATCCAGTTACAGGCATTTCACACAAGAAAACAGTTGTTCTGTAAATATGAAAACCACAGCCTCATTTGTAACTGGAGAAATGCAAATTAAAACCACAGTGAATACGAATACCCACTCACTAGAATGACTAAAATTAAAATTAGTGACCAAGTGTTAACAAAGATGTGGAATAATAGGAATTCTTGTGATCTGATGATAATATAACTTGGTATATATGAGCAGCCAGGAAACATGTAAGAGAATGGTCATAGCAGTATTATTTGTAATAGCCACAAACTGGAAGCAGCCCATCCACCAACTATAGAAGACATAAATAAATGATATTCATGTAATGGATTATTTATACATTAAAACAAATGTTACAGTGACATGTAGCAACATGGCTAAATTATAAGAACAGTGTTAAAACTCATGAGGCAAAACTGTACTGTAGTGTTTAGGGATGCATCCATAAGTGGCAAAATGGTAAAAAAAAAAAAAAAAAAAAGCAAGGAAGTAGTAATTACCATAGAGTTAGGATAGAGAATAGAGGTTATCTTTTGGGAGGAGAAGGAGAAGGGCAGAATCAGGAGTGGGCTCGTGGGAGACCCCTGGAGTGTTCTGTTTCTTAATGTTAATACTGATCATATGGATCATTTGGCTATTTGTTAAGCTGTACATTTGTGTTTCAGACTCTCTTCTGTGTTTTTTTTTTTTCCTCAAGGAAAAGTTGTAAAATATGATTTGACTAAGCAAGAAGAATAAAAACAGTGATCTTTAAAGGAGTGTTCTATAATGAACCAACTTCTCTAAATTCGTTTTCTTATGTGACAGGGCTGTAAAGTGAGAGACCACATGGTTGCTCTTCGTGATCAGGGTGAAGGAGGGGATCTGCCGTCTTGTCCAACATCTAGAACACTGGATGATCTGCAGAAGCACAAAGATGTCATTGTTGTGCCTTTTTCTAAAGATACAGTTAGGTGAGGAAAAAAATAACCACCAGTACTCTATTGCACCCTTATTAAGTGGTTCCCATCTCAGAATCCCTTAGCTCGTACTATTTCCCCAAATCAGTAATTTCATTCTTCTAATTAGTGTTCATTATTTTGGAAAGCTTAATTGAAATTATATTACCTTACAATGAGAACAACAGACATTTATTTGATAGGTAAAACACTTAAAAGTATTGGAGGTCCATAGGGAAGTAAAATAAGTAAGTCATTGATGATTAAAGAGGTTGGAATCCTTATCTAATTTTTAGAGATTTTTAAAATTTTATCCTCCCAATGCTTAAACCCTTAGTTTTTGCTGGCGGGTGTGTGTGTGTGTGTGTGTGTGTGTGTGTGTGTGTGTGTGTGTTTTGTTTTGTTTGTGGTCCTGGGGATTGAGCCTAGGGCCTCACACATAGGCAGGCACTCTGCCACTGAGCTACTTCCCCAGCACCAAGCCCTTTCTCCTTCTTCTCCAGCTTCTCCTCTTCCCTCCTCCTCCAACCCCCACACACTGGGGATTGAACCTCGAGTCTTCATACTCAGCTGCATTCCCAGCCCTTGTTTAATTTTTTGAGACAGGGTCTCACTATGTCACTGAGTTGCCCAGGCTGGGCTCAAACTTGTGACCCTCCTGCCTCAGCCTCCTGGGGTGCTGGTATTACAGGTGTGCACCACTACACCTGGCTATAAGCCCTTCTTAAATACTTCATTCATACAGCTTTCCATAAATTTAAATCCCTTAAATTCAGTAATATTTAGCCAGGCATGGTGGCCCACTCCTGTAATCCCAGCACTCAGGAGACTGACTCAGGAGGATTGCCCCAAGTTCGAGGCCAGTACATAGTGAGTTCAAGGTGAGTCTGAACCACACAGCGAGACCCTGTCTCAAAACAAATTCAATTGCCAGCACTGAAGAAAAAAAAAAAAAAAGAAAGTAGTACCAATAATAGCCCATTTCACCACCTAGCAAGTGTGATGCTTGTGCAGTGGGACTCCATATGTGGAATGACTTTTGCTAGTGAATTAAGAAATGTAATGTTGAAGTGGCATCTTTATACTTAGTAACTGTTTCTTTTTCTTTGGTGCTGGGGATCACACAGGAACTGGGGCTGAACCCAGGGCTTTGAGTATGTTAAGCAAGCACTCCACCACTGAACTACATCCCCAGCCCCCTTTTTTTGGTACCAGGGATCAAACTCAGGACCTTGCGCTCACAAGGCAGGCACCAGAATCACTGAGCTAAATCCCCAGCCCAGCCCTTTTTTTTTTTTGAGACAGGGTCTCACTAAGTTGCCCAGGCTGGCCTTGAACTTGTGATCCTCCTGCCTGAGTGGCTGGGATTATAAGCATGTGCCAGTGTGTCCAGCTACATAAGGAACTCTTTATTAATATTGACTTATAAAACATTTAATTTAAAAAAAATCTCATTAAAATTTTTAAGAAAGTGAACATTTCTACCTAAAAGTGTCTTCTTCTTCCAAGTGGTCCTGTGGTTGGCTCCAGTGATGAGAAGGGTCCAGAGTGTGATGCTTTACTGGAGCCACATACATCATGGGGCCCCCAAACTGGAGAGCTCAATGCTGTGAGTAGCTTGTTTTACTTACTTGATGACTTAATTTTTGACAGGAACCTGGTCAGCTTAAATTGAAATAGAGCTGATTACCTAATCACAGAAAGGTCATATGCTGAGTTAATAAGGCTGCACAGTACAAGTGCTATCACATTCCTTACCCTCAAAGAATTAATAACTAATAGATTAAAATTTGGTAGTAAAAAATAACATAGTCTTTGGGATTTTTATTATGGATAAATAATAATTTGAGAAGTGAAGATAGTATGATCAGATATTTTGTCCTTCCCTTATTCTATAAGCATTTTTTATATGAAATTCTTAATTGTGATCGAGAATATATATAGTTTCTTCAGAAGTTTGAAGACTGAAATATCTCTAAGGTAACCAAAAAGGTTATTCCTTTGAGTTTGTTACTAAGGAGCAGAGAATCTGCTTGTGAACTTCCTGCCTTTGTGTTGGTTGGGGTAGAACTTACTTGAGAAAGTGAAAATCTCCAGGCAGCTATATAAATATTCAGTCATTAAGATTTATTTATTTATATCAGATAATAAATTACATAATTTATAATAAAATATAAACATTAAAAATGATTAAAGTAGTTCAAAAATAATAAATTATCTTTACATGTGATTTTCTTGTCCTTTGGGAATACTGGAAAAGTATCTGTTTTTTTCTTTGAGACAGGATCTCTCTGTAGTTCAGGCTAGCTTTGAACTCGCTATATAGCCCAGACTGGTCTTGAACTCATGGCGATCCTCCTCCCTCAGTTACTGAGTGCTAGGATGACAAGTGTGCATCACCATGTCCAGCTCCTTCTTAACTCCCCCCACCCCCCCAAGCACTGGGGATCAAATCAAGGGCCTGGCTCATTCTAGGCAAGGGCTCTACCACCAAAGTACACCCTATCCGTTTTTCCTTTTTCTTTGGTACTGGTGACTGAACTCAGAACCTTGTGCTTTTTTTCGTTGTTGTTGTTACCAGAGATTGAACCTCGGGTCCTTGCACTTGCGCAGCAGGCGGCGAAGAACCTTGTGCTTTTCAGGCAGGCAGAATGGCACCACTGAGCTAAATCCCCGACCCAAACAATTTTTTTTTTTTTTGTACCAGGGATTGAACTCAGGACCTTGCACTTGCAAGGCAGGCGGCAGTACCACTGAACTAAATCCCCAGCCCAGCTTTTTCCTTTTTGTAAACATCCATATCCTCTAGGCAGACTATTTAAAATACTGATATATTAACTTAGTATATCAGTTTCACCCTGAGTCTTAAATTATTTCAACTTGAAAGGGATCCATAATAGTAACTTTTGCAGCTTTTCTGTAATATCCATGTGAAAATAAGAAACTATAATCTGGTAGATGAAGATTTATTAATCTATTATTTCTCTGTTTTATAGTTCTTGTCATTGAAAAACTGGACTCTGCAACTAGTAAGTGAGCAGTTACATTCAGCTTTCTTCATAAGTGAAAGTTTAGGTTAATAAAATCTTACCAGTCTTATTTTATAAATTGTAGTTAAATTTGAGTTAAAATTTAAGTGTCTTCCCTTTTAGCTTTTCCACTTTTGTATTAACTAAAAATGCCGTAAGATTGTTTAACAGGGACACATACTCCATTATCAGACTGCATAAACCATAAGACTGGTTAAAAGACTTTTAAAAATCATTCTTAAATCACGTTTAGGACAATGAACAATGAAATATCTCTTAAATTCTCATTTGGTTAGTTTATTTATTGGTTGATTTTTTTAACCTGTTTGCCCAATACTATGGCATCTGCTATCATTATTCATAAGAATGTGATAGGAATTTGGGTTAGTGATGACAGACAGTAGGGTACATAGATACAAGACACTAATATAGGTATGTTTAACTGTTACCAGCCCCAGTCACACATATATTAGTTTAGAAACTACCTGGGTTTTTTTTTTTTTCTTCTTTTTTTTTGAAAAAAAGTCTCACTATGGTAGACCAAGCTAACCTGGAACTCACTATGTAGCCCAGGCTGGGCTTGAACTCCCGATTCTCCAGCCTCAGCCTCCCAAGTGCTTTGATTATAGGTGTGTGCCACCAGGCCCAGATAAGAAACTACTTTAATATTAGTAATTGTATTGTAATTTAATCAATAAAAGGAACATAGGTTCAGTTGAGTGATGGAAATACAATTCAACAAATGCTGAGTACTAATTATATGTCTATCACTGTGCTAGGTTCTGTGAAGAAAATATATTTTTAAATTTTAATATCTTGTTCTGAATATAATTTGGTGTTTTTTTTCTTTTTGTGGTGCTGGGGATTGAATGCAGGGTTTCATGTATGCTAGGCAAGAGCTCCACACTGAGCTACATCCCCATCCCTGAATGTAGAACTTATCCTGGCTGTTGTGCTAGGCAGACAGCAGTCATTTTATCAACTCTTATTTGACTCATTTATCCAAAATAAATGGGTAAATGTGTTTTAAAGAATTCATTAAAGGCGTAATAATATATTTGTAATAGGGCTGGGGATTTAGCTCAGTGGTGCCGCTGCCTGCCTCGCAAGTGCAAGGTCCCAAGTTCGATCCCTGGTACAAAAAAAAAAAATTTGGATTTGTAATAGATGTATTTGTTTTTAAATTTAGAAACAACAGTCATTATTTTCAGAAGAAGAAGAATATACCACTGGATCTGAAGTCACTGAAGATGAAGTTGGTGATGAGGAAGAAGTATCCAAGAAACAAAGTACTGGCTTCTGAGTTAAAATCTAATCTCATTGTTTATGAAGAGGTTGTATTCTGAAGCTTTTACTATAAGAGTTGGGGAACTGGCTTTATATATCAACGTGGTAGATTATAATATCAGCCAAAAAAAAAAAAAGAAAGAGAAAAAGGAGGCTCTGTTAAGATCCCCCAACCCTGGCACAAATACAGAATGCTCAAAGTTATAAAGAAAATACAGTGTACTGAGAAATAATTCTCCAAATTTTTATTTCAGGTGTAATCTAATGTGTGACTCACATCAGATGAAATGTGATCAGAGATGTTTACCTGGTAATGATTTGGAGTGCCCCTCAAATGAACCATTAAATAACGTTCATGAGTATGATTTTTAAAAGATCAGAAACATGATTACAACTATAAAATAAACTTGTGTCAAAATTTTTTAACTCATTAGTTCCACAAAAGAGCAAGGAATATTGGTTCAAAGGGCCTTTGAAGACACAGCTATTTATATTTATTGGCATTTGAAAAAAGAATGCTAAAAAGAAGATTATAAGTTAGATGCAAAACTGATTAAAGTCCCATAAGGCAATAAATCCATAACCTTTGAGCTAATCTTTTCTACTAGAGAGAAATCATTTGCATTTCTATTAGAGGAATCTGCAAGTTAATATGTAACTTTACAGTGTCTGGGCTATAATCAGTAGAAGGTAAGTCAGGGATAGGGTGTCCCTGTATGGTAGGAGGGCTTACTTAGCATGTGGAAGGCCCTGGGTTTGATCTCCGGCACACATTAAAAAAAAATAGGGCTGGACATTTAGCTCAGCATTCCACCGCCTGCCTCTGCCTTGCAAGCACAAGGACCTGAGTTCAATCCTACCAAAAAATAAAATAAAAGATAAAAGATAGCAAAGTTAGACATTCCCTTAGAGAATCAAATAATACTTGAGTGGCCCTGTTAAGCAGTCCTTCAATATGAGGTTGAAAAGATGTGCTGTTCTCTCTTGGTCTTCAAGTTTTACATGTTTTTGTAATATCGAATCTCCTAATGAAAAACCAGCTCTGTCAGTTATCTTTCAGGTCAAGTACTACTGTGTTGTGTGTGTGTTTTTTACATGTAATAAAATTCACCCATTCTTAAGTGAGGCGGGTGACTTGGTACACAGTCATGTAGCTATGCTCTTTAAATCAAGATCTAGCACATTGCTATAAAATGTTCCCTTTGCCCCTTTAGTTTATACTCATTTCCCTTTCTCCCCTAAAGCAACTACTAATCTGTTTTTTGTCACTAGTTTATCTTTTGTAGGATTTCCTATGAAAGGAATCATGAGTAGTCTTTTGTCTTTGGATTCTTTCGTTTAGTTTGATGCTTTAGAGAGTCATCCATATTGTTACATGTGTCAGTAGCTTGTTCCTTTTTATTGCAGGGTGTAGTATTCCATTATATGGATATATCATAATTAATTATCCATTCACAATTTCATGGACATTTGGGTTGTTTCCAGTTGTTGGCTATAATGCTGCTGTGAACATTTGCATACAAGTCTGTGTGGACATATGTTTACATTTTTCTTGGGTAGATACCTAGGAGGGGAATTTCTGAGTCATATGGTAACTGTATGTTTAACTTTATAGAAACTACCAAACTGTTTTTGCAAAGTGACTGTACCATTTTGCTTTCCCAGCAGCAATATATGAAATTCCTAGTTGCTGCATATTCACATCAGTATTTGGTACTATGAGTGATTTTAATGGGAATTTATTGGGATGCTAGTGGGAGTTTAGCCTTTCTAGTGGGTTTATATTGGTAAGCCTTCAGGTGGTTATTGGCCATTATATATCTCTTTGTTGTGAAGTGTCTAAGTCTCTTCCCCACTTTTTATTAGGTTATTTGCCTTATCACTGAATTATAAAATTATATACTTTGATAAAAGCCCTTTGTCAGCCATGTATTTTGTAAGTATTTTCTCCCAGATTATGGCTTGCCTTTTAATTTTCCTAATGGTATCTCTCAAAGAGCAAACATCTGTAATTTTGTGAACTCCAATTTTTTTAGTTTTTCTTTTTATGTTAAGAAATCTTTGCCTTGGGCCGGGGATTTAGCTCAGTGGTTCTGCCACCTGCCTCTCAAGTGCAAGGTCCCGAGTTGGATCTCCGGTAGCAAAAAAGAAATCTTTGCCTACCTCACAGTCACAGATTTTCTGCTGTTTTCTCCTAGAAGTTGTATGATTTTAGCATTCATATTTAGGTCTGTGGTCCCTTCCAGGTTATGAGTTAAGAGTCTAGCTTCCTCTTTTTCCACAGTCATAACCAGTAGTTCCAGCACTATTTGTTGAGAACACTATTCTTTCCATATTGGATTATCTTGGCACTTTTGTTAAAAATTAGTTGACTTTTATATGTAGGACTATTTCTGAATCTTGTTCTCTTCTACTGATTCTTATATCTGTCTTTACATCAGTATATCAATACCACACTGTCCTAATTTTGGTGAGTTTTTAAATCTTGTGATATGAGTTCTCTAGAGTTATTTAGTTTTAAAATTTTAGCCTTTTTAGATGATTTGTATTTTCTATAAATTTAGAATCAATGTAGATATTTCTACAAATATTTTACTGAGATATTTATTGGGACTGTGTTGAACCTATATATCAATTTGGGGCAAATACAACCCCTCCCAAGGCAATTCTTTGAATTCATGACTGTGAAATACTTTTGCATTTATTTGTCCTTTTAAAATGTCTCTCATCAGTGTTTTATAATTTCAGTGTGCATATGTTGAACATCTCTTGTTAAATTTATTTCTAGCTATTTTATGCTATCATAAATAGTTGGTTTTTCAATTGGTCATTGATGGTAATATTGAAATACTGTTGATACTTTGTGTGTTAACCTTTTATCCTATGAACTTGTTAAATTGAAATTCACTCATTTATCCTTCACTTGTTAGAGTCCATTCCAATTTGAATTCCTTTTCTTTGTCTTGATTTTCGTCCATGTTAGGACCCAGTGTTGAATGGAATCATGAGAACAAACATCCTTGTCTTGTTTGCTATCTTGGGGGAAGCATTTAGGCTTTAGCCAATAAACATGTATTATTAGTTGTTGGTTTCTAATAAATGCCCTTTCTCAGTTGAAGAAGCTCCTTTCTATTGCTAGTTTGCTAAGTTTTTATAGTAAATAAGTGTTGCTTTTGTCAAATACTTTTTATCTGATCACTGCTAAGCTTGTACAGATTTTCTTCTTTATTATGTCAGTATAATATTAATTTTTTTCAAGTGTTGCATCTCTCTAGGGTAAACTCTACTTGGTAATGAAGTAATGATGACTTCATAAAATGAGTTGGAAAATGTTTCTTTCATTTTTCTCTTCTGTAAGAGTTTGTATAGGATTTGTATCATTTATTCTTTAACCACTTAACAGTTTACCCTAAGTGCCACCTAGGCAGCACATTTGTTTATGTACTATCTCCAGTGCTGCTTGGGCATCATTTCAGTGAGTTCTTGAATAGCATAAATTTGATAAAATTTTTGTTTTTATATTTCTTATTGTATTACAAAAATTAGTGAAAAAATGCAATTTTTGGTCTTCTTGTATTTAAATAATTGGACTGGTAAATGGTTAAATCATGATAAAATTCATCAGTAAAGCTGCTCCAGCTATAACCCATGCTAATTTGTGCTTTTTCCTTTCAGGTTTGTCAGTTTTTGCTTCATTTATGTTATAACTTTGTGATTAGGCACATATACATGTAAGAGTGTAGTGTGTTGACTCTTTCATCTTTGTATGTTCAATACAGACACAGTTTTTTCCCACAATATTTTCAGTCTGCAATGCAATTGGTTGAATCCATAGATGCAGAACACATGAATATGTACGGTTGACTATATACATTATAAACTCAATGTTACGATTTTTGCTTTAAATGGTTATATGTCATTTCGGAACATAAGGAAACAGAAAAATGCACACATTTAGTCTTTTCTATTCACATAGGTACCATTTTTCCCATATATGAGTTACCACCTGATGTCATTTTCTTTTATTTTGTTTTTCTGTTGTTGTTTTTTGGTTTTTGGTTTTGGTACCGGGGATCGAACTCGGGTCCTTGGTGCTTGTGAGGCAGCCCACAGAACCACTGAGCTAAATACCCGGCCTATTTTCTTTTATTCTGTAGGACTTCCTTCATTACTTTTTGTAGTATAGGCCTAACTAGCAGTGAATTGTCTTCTGTTTATCTGAAAAAAAACCTTTATTTCACTTTTAAAAATTTTTATTAGTACATATTTACAGTACATAATTATTGCATTCGTTGTGGGGAGTCGGTACATGCACATAACACATCTTAACTGTTTTACTTGTCCTTCCTTTCCCATCCCTCTCCCTCCCTCCATCTCTTAGTCCTCCTTCCCATTTACAAAAGCTCTATCTCCCTTTTCCTATGGTCCATCTCACTTTTGTTTTTTAACTAGTTTTGCCTGATACACAATATTTGGTTACCAGTTACTTTTCTTTCAGCATACAAATGTGTCATTCCAATGTCTTCTGGCCACTGTTGTTCCTGATAAGAAGTCAGCCATCAAACTTGTCATTGTCTCCTTTGTGTAATGGGCCCTTTTTTTTTTTTTTTTACTCAGGCAAGTGATGTACTCTTTTTATCCCAGCTACTCAGGAGTCTGAGACAAGAAAATCCCAAGTTTGAGCCCAGCTTGGTCAACTTAACAAGATCTTGTCTCAAAATTAAATTACAAATAAATAAAAAGACTGGGGCTATAGCTCAGTGCTCCTTGGGTTTTTTTCTTTATGATACTTAGAATATGTTAAGCTTCTTGGTTATTTGCCAGTACCTTCAGATTTTTTTTTAATGTTTTTATTTCTTTTATTTGGAAGAAATTGTCCAGCCTCTTCACATTGCCATTACTAGATGTCCTACCTTGTTGTGTCTTTTAGGAACTTTATTTTGTTTTGTTTTGTTTTGTTTTTTGAGACAGGGTCTCACTATGTAGTTCAGGCTGACCTTGAACTTACTATGTAATCCAGGCTGGCCTGGCAATCCTGCCTTAGCCTCTCCAGTGCTGGGATTACAGATGTGCGCTACCACATCCGCCTCAGGAACTTGATAATATTTAATAATATCTGAGTTTAACAGATATGTGTTAGGGATTGAGGGCATGCCAGCAGGCAAATAAATCTACGTCACTAGGAGTTTTTTCATTATAATGTCTTCTAGGTTATCTACATAGCATATTTTGTACATTTTACATTTATGGTAGTGATATAAACTTTCCTTTTTAAATTACAGTAAGTACTTGACTTATGAACATTCAAGTTGCAAACTTTCACAGGTGTACTGTGTAAGACTCACTTTGGGGCCGGGGATTTAGCTCAGTGGTGCCACTGCCTGGCTCACAAGTGCCAGGGTCCTGAGTTTGATCCCCTGTACCAAAAAAAAACAAACCTCACTTTGTCAGCTTACATATGAATCCAATTTATGAACAATTCTACCATAATAGAACTTGTTTGTAAGTTGGGGACTTTCTGTATATAGCAAAACTTGTGGATGTCAAATACATCTCGCCCTCTCCTTTGTCCTCCTGTCAGAAGGAATAGATCCAAAATATTGACTGCAAGAATGCTTTGGTCTAGAATATAGGTAATTTGTCCAAACTGCTTCTTCCCAAGATTATTCTTGTCCTACCTCTTCCCTGAGCAAAAGGCATTTTAAAGATTTTATATATACATGAATTTTCTCTCCCCCCCTTTCTCAAATTGTCTTTCTCTAGATTATACTAAATTTTTTGTTTTGGGTACTGGAGTTCGAACTCAGGTCCTTGTGCTTGTGGGACAGGCGGTAGAACCACTGAGCTAAATCCTCAACCCTAGATTATATTAATTTTTAAAATAAAAAAATTTGTAAAGCTGAGGATGTAGTTCAGTAGTAGAGCACTTGCCTATTATCCACAAGGCCCTGAGTTCCATTCCCAGCATCACAAAACAATTTGGAATTGCAAGATTTTACTGTCAAATCAATAGAGAAATAAATATATAGTTTTACCCAACATTTTTCAATATTTCATTTAGTAGGGACTTTGAATTCAGTGCCCTCACTTTTTCCTCAAAGAAGAAATGTAATTAAACCCCTGTAAAGCAATTTAGTTTGATTCCTCCATATACTTGCTTTTTGTCCAGAGGTAATGTTAGGATTTTTTGTGTGTGTGTTTTTTTTTTACAGTTTTAGGTGCTTTATTATCTGAAGTCTACAAGGAAGATACAAAAGCTGTTTTAATTACCAATCAAGTACACTAGGGCTCTGGAAAGTTTGGCTCCTTTTTGCTAAGCTGCCAGATGACTGAAGCAGTCAATTAGTTGGCTGTGTTTTATATACCTGCTTAACATTTTCGTGGCTGCTGAATAATGTAGATCCTTTTCAGTGGAGCGACCTTCTCCAGAGCAGGTGTAGGTTTTTGATGTGCCACGTGCACTGTTCCTGGAAATTTATGGTTGAGCTTGACTCTGTCGTTCAGGACATCCAGTGTCTGTATTTTGCAACATTTGCAATGGCACTTGTTTTCTCTTAGCTTGTTTCTCCAAGATGCCGATTTCTTGTTTTTTGGAAATTCGCATTCCTCCAGCTTTTTTTGTTTCCCCCCCCCCCTTTTCAGCTTTTATTTTTAAGGATCTAAATTTTTTTTTTTTGGTATGGGGATCGAACTCGGTTCCTTGCGCTTGCAAGGCAGGCGGCGGAACCACTGAGCTAAATCCCCAACCCTAGATTATATTAATTTTTAAAATAAAAACATTTGTAAGGCTGAGGATGTAGTTCAGTAGTAGAGCACTTGCCTGTTATCCACAAGGCCCTGAGTTCCATTCCCAGCATCACAAAAAAATTTGGAATTGCAAGATTTTACTATCAAATCGATAGAGAAATAAATATATAGTTTTACCCAACATTTTTCAATATTTCATTTAGTAGGGACTTTGAATTCAGTGCCCTCACTTTTTCCTCAGAGAAGAAATATAATTAAACCCCTGTAAAGCAATTTAGTTTGATTCCTCCATATACTTGCTTTTTGTCCAGAGGTAATCTGTTAGTTTTTAAAAAACAGTATTTTTTAAAACATTTCTTTGGTTTAGAAGTAGCAAGTACATTAGAAAAGTATGAAACTTATGCTCGTAACATTTTTCTTCTGTTATCAGGGAAAAAAGAGAAGCCAAAGAGGTTCACAAAACAACCAAAAAAGCAGATGTCTTCACCTTGTGCTCAAAAGAAAGAAAAGCCATTGGAGAAGGTAACTCCAAATTATCTATTATTATTCTAAAGTTTCTATGAAGAGATAAGCAAGCAAGTATAGCCAGGAAATATCTACAACAGAAGAGTAGTGAATATCACAGCAGAATGATAGCAGTGCAAAATGATTGAAGTTCTTTGTAGACCGAGATTACAGATCTTTAAGATACGTCAGCAAGGCCGGGGATTTGGCTCAGTGGTTTTGCCACCTGCTGCACAAGCACAAGGACCTGAGTTCGATCCCTGGTTCAAAAAAAAAAAAAAAAAAGATAACGTCAGCAAGTGAAGAAAAGGACAGTGCAGGACAGTGTGTAACGCAGCATAGTATACTACCATTTGTGTGAATCAGATAATATGTGAATTTCCTTGTATGTGCATAATATATTTCTGGATAGCTATATAAGAAATTAAGATAGGTTGTCCCTAAGGAAGGGAACTAAATGTGTAGGGGACAGAAGTGCTATTTAATTTTGAACGAATACTACTTATTAAATAAGTAAAGATGGCTGGGGATTTACTTCAGTGACACCACGCCTGCAAGGTCCTGAGTTTGATCCCTGGTACCAAAAAATAAAAATAAAATAAGTAAATGAGTAGATTTTTAAAGTTTAAAATAAATTATATCTTACAACTCTTTGTTGTTGTTGTTTTATAGTTTCCCTGTGCCCTTGAAGGAAGGGGTAAAAAGCCAGTTAAGACTAACAACACAGTAATAGCCACAGTTGGCTTAAAGAAAAACCATAAATTCCAAAACAATGTGTGAAAGTCTCAGGCTGAGACAAAATCCACGTAGTTACATTGGGTGGATTGTACATTCATCTGTGTGTTAAGTACCACAGCACACAAATGTGTTAATTCTAGAAGATTGTATGAGTTTAGAGCTTCAAGGTTGACAAAGCTGGTTCAAATTCTACCTCCATACATCTTTTGAGAAGTTTCTTAACTTTTAAACCTGTTTTTTTATAGAGATTATGAAATACTGCCTGTCTCACATGGTTGTTGCAAGGTTTAAATGAAATGACACTTGTAAGTGCTCTTGGCCACTGTGTCTTGCTTGCACTCAATAAGCATAAATTCTTTTTATAATTATCTATAATATTGATTAGTAAATATGTTCTAATTGGGTCTTAATTTTGTCTACTTTTAGTCAGCTTCTAGAGATGTGTCTCCCTTCATGTGAGTATTGCTCCTTGATCCAGATGCTGTCCACTCTTAGAGCAGCATCGGTGCTGATTTTTGTTGAATTTTTTCAATAGTGTGAGTATGCAGAAGAATAAGTGGGATGCCACAAGATCTCTGAGATTCAACCAGGATGCACAAAGAGAAGACGGTAAATTTTATCACTTGAGTAACATATAAATTGGGTATAAATAACAAGAATGTCTTTTAATTCGTGAAGTAAACTGAATAGCTGTAAAGGTTTCATTCATAATAAGAACCAATATTTGCACATTCTCTTAGGTATCAACTAAAGTTTCATTACTAGACAATCCAGTGTTTTATGTATTTGTGATTTTAAAATCTATGAGACTAGGGCCGGGGATTTAGTTCAGTGGTTCCACCACCTGCCTTGCAAGCACAAGGTCCCGAGTTTGATCCCCATACCAAAAAAATTTATCAGACTACAGACTTTTTTTTTGGTACCGGGGATTGAACTTGGGACCTTGCACTTGCAAGGCAGGCATGGTGCCACTGAGCTAAATCCCCGGCCCCTAGACTAACTTTTGATCCTACTTTTACTGTAAAAACGACTGAATATATTTTAGGGTGTGTCATATACCATTTTCTGTTGCTATAACAATATACCTAAGGGTGGGTACTTTATACAGAAAAGAAGTTTATTTAGCTCCCACTTCTTGAGGTCCAAGAGCATGGCACCAGCATCAGCTTGGCTGTGATGAAGACCTTCTGTCTACATCACAACATGGTAGGTACCAGCATGGTTGGAGCACATGCAAGGAAAGATCACGTGACAAGACGTGAAGCAAAAGAAATTCAAGTGCCCAGTTTGTTTTTATAACAACTTGCTTTTACAGGAACTAAGTGGGACCTCATTTAGCAAGAACTACATTAATCTCTTCCAAGGGCAGTGCCTCAGTGATCTAACTACTTTCCATTATACCACACCTTGTAAAGGTTCTACCACCTCTCAACATTGCCAAACTAGCAACCAAGTTTGCTTTTTTGGGGGGTGGGGGGTCCATTACGGGGGATCGAACTCAGGACCTTGTGCTTGTCAGGCAGATGCAGCGCCACTGAGCTACATCCCCAGCCCAGCAATTGACCTTTGTGTACATGAACTTTTGGATGCATACTCAAACCTTATCCAAATCATAGATTAGTTTTCAGTGATCTAAAAAGCAGCACAGTTATCCACATAAAAGTCATTTTACCACTTGCTACTTGAAATTCTTTACAGATACATAGAGGTATGCATCTGAAAAATAATAGCCAGAGATATTTTCATAAAACCTTATTAATTATAGTGTGTGTATGTGTGTTACTGAGGATTGAACCCAGGGCCTTTGCACTCAACTATATCCCCAGCCCTTTTTTATTTTCTGAAACAGGGTTTTGTTAAGTCATCAGGTTGCCCAGGGGAGACTGGAACTTATGATCCTCCTGCCTCACCCTCCCATAGTGCTGGGATTACAGGCCTGAACCTGCTGATTACAGTCTTCTTTAAGAAGTAAATATTATAGGCCCAGGGATTTAGCTCAGTGGTTTCGCTACCTGCTGCGCAAGCTCAAGGACCCGAGTTTGATCCCCAGTACCAAAAAAAAAAAAAAGTAGTAAATATTATAAATCGTCTCCATGAAGAGTAATGTTTCCTCTTTTTTATCTTCAGACCAGCGGCGGATGTCTGAAATTACAGGGCATCTAATAAAAATGAGATTGGGTGATTTGGACCGAGTCAAGTCAAAAGAAGCAAAGGAAGTAAGAAAATTGTTTACTACAATACTATATTTATATAAGATGTTCCTTCCTGTTTTTATTTTTACCATGAAGAGAATAAAGATGTTTTAAATAAAAATTTTAAAGAGCTATATAAGTATTTTATGTTCTTAGCAGTTAGCCAGAATTCACATAAGTTTTCTACCATCTTTTTTTTTTGGTATCGGGGATCAAACTCGGGTCCTTGCACTTGCGAGGCAGGTGGTGGAACCACTGAGCTAAATCCCCGGCCCCGCCATCTTTTATCATCCATGGTCCATAGGTCCTCTACATCACACATAATAAAGTATATGATTACCAAAGGGTGATGTCACAACAGAAGTAGATTAGCTATGCGTTGTTGACAAATGCTGACACTCCAGAGGGTGACTTTCTCAAAGTGCTGATTTTGCATGTGCTGCTTTGATGTTATCTCTAAAATGTTATCTTGCTGAAAATAATGGCTATAAATACCTATATTGGTACTAGAACTACATATTAGTCATAACATTATGATTGTATATTGTATGTGCACCATAACTCTGGCCCTAATCCTGTTATTTAAACTATACTTCCTGCTAGAGGTGTAGCTTCATAGTAGAGCACATGCTTAACATCCACAAGGCCCCAGGTTCAGTTCCTGTCTCCAAAAATAAAGTAAAATTAATAGTAGAGTAGAAAAAAGTTTTACTTCCATATAAAACTTAGAAATCTTAGGAGAAAATCTTTGTGACCTTGGATTAGACACATTTCTTAGCTACAACCAAAAACATAATCCATAAAAGAAAAAAATACACAAGTCAGACTTCAACATTTTAAAGTTTGTGGTGCACACCTGTAATCCCAGCACTCAGGAGGCTGAGGCAGGAGGATCTTTGAGTTTGAGGCCAACTTGGGCTACATAGTGAGACCCTGCCTCAAAAAAAAAAAAAAAAATTTTTTTTTAAAAAAACACTGTTAAGAGAATGAGAATGAAAAGGCAAGCCATATACTATGAGCAAAGTTTAAAACACTTATAAAACATTTGTATCCAGGACACATAAAGACTCTCAAAACTCAGTAATAAAGTAAATGTAAATAAATCAGCATAAGGTTAACTAAACACCTTGAAAGAAGAAATTCAGGTGGCAAATAAAGACATGAAAAAAATGCAAAGTCTATAGAGAAATTTAAGTTAAAACCTCAGTGATCTACCACTATACACCAACTAAAATACCAAATCCAGGATAAGGAGTGAACCAGAAGTCTCATAAGAGCCAGTAGGAATGCTAAAAAGAAAAGCCATTTTGGAAAACAGTTGGGCAGTTTCTTATAAACATTCACCATACAAGTTACTTATTTCTAGTAGTTTTATTCATAATTGCCCAAAACTAGAAATGCCCCAAATGATGTCCGTTAGCTGGTAAATGTGGCAAAAGAAAAATTCTGAGATGTCCTAAATTACAAATGGCTAGGGCTGGGGATTTAGCTCAGTGGTTCCAATGCCTGCCCTGCAAGCACAAGAACCCAAGTTCAATCCTTGGTACTAAAAAAAAAGGGAAATGGCTGGAAGATGGAAAGGAAAAGAGGAAATTAATTAGCAAACAAATGCAGGAATGTGTGTTGAAAGCTTGACTCAGACCCCAGTTTACTGAACATCAGGTGACACTAATCCACTTAGAAAAAAGCTTAACTGTTAGCCTCAGCCGGTCCTCAGGCTTCAAGTTCCTCTGCATAACAGACTTCCACCTGTCCGAAAGCTTCCCCTGCTTCATCATATCCTGCCTCTTTTTATCAACAGCCAATGTAAGCTCTTTGTAAACAATTTATGCCTTGGGCCGGGAATTTAGCTCAGTGGTTCTGCTGCTTGCCTCATAAGCACAAGAACCCGAGTTCGATCCCCGGTACCAAAAAAACAACCAATTTATGCCTTAATTCCCCAAAATGCATTGTAAGAATGCTAGTCCCCAAGTTTAGGAGGCTTGGTCCCAACCCCTCTACAGAGCCTTGCGAGCAGCTCAGCCATGTCCCAGGACCTGGTCCTTGTTTCTGTTCTTAATTTCTTTTTTTTTTTTTTTTTTGGTACCAAGGATCAAACTCAGATCCTTGCACTTGCGGGGCAGGCAGTGCCAAATGCCTGGCCCTTCTGCTCTAATTTCTGTAACAGCTTAGTGAACTGTTTTATTTCAGAGAACTCACCATCTAAAGACTTTTTGGTTTAACAAATAGATAAAATGTACTTATTAAAAAAGCACAAACTCCTAATACTGTATATGTAACAACTTGGATAAATCTCCTATACATTATGCTAAGTGGAAGAAAATAGATTTTAAAAACATACATACTGTGTGATTCCATATATGAAATATTCTGGAATATGCAAAACCATAGCAACAGCAGATCAGTGGTTGTGAGAAGTTGGTAATGGATAGATGTTGCTTTACAAAGGCAACAAGGGGATTTCTTGGAGATGATAGAACTGTTTTATGTCTTCATTGTGATTATACAACAGTATGCATTTGTCAAAACCCAGAACTCTGTGCTAAAATGTTGAATTTTACCTCAAAATGTGAATTATGCCTGAATTTTAAATATCAAAAATAAAATTACTGTTTATGTACTAATAAAAAAACTTTAAAATTTTTAAAATTACTATGTAAATTTAGAAGGATGCCATTTTAATAAAGCAGAGATTCTGTTGATTCCTTAAGGTAATTTTACATCTTTATTTTATAGTTTGCAGGAGGTATTTATTCCAGGCTTGAAGCACAAATTAAAGCCTCAGTGCCAGTTAGTACGCGGCAAAGCAGCTCAGAGAAGAACACAAGGTAAATCAGCAGAAACTAATTCAGGATGCCTCTGGCTTTGGAGTGATTTTTTTGAGAGAGTGAGGGAGTAGTAAATCATGGTAGCACTAGAACCACATGATTTTAATTTGGTTGTAAGTTTTCTTTTTATTGGTCTGGCTCCATTCTATGCCAGCTGCAACTATGAATTAGCAAAACTGATATACTGTATTATTTGTAGATTATATATTATATTATATGAGTCATTGAAGTCTTTCCTGTTCCTTGATTTGGTTTTTTATTTCTCTTAATATAACTTGTGGTTCTTGTATCATTTTGCATCACAAATTGTCTTAGTCACTTTAGTCATCGTTCAGACACAACACCTGACACAGCTCTGAGAAGAAGAGTTTTATTTTGGCTCTCGGTTTTTGGAGGGTTCAGTCCACAGTTGACTGGCTCAAAGGCAGAAATGCCATAGTGGAAAGGCCTGGGCAGAGGACAGCTGCTCTGCCAGGAAGCAGAGAGGGAAAGGAGGTCCCAAGGAGGGAGATTTACCCTTCCCAATAACACCCCCAGTGACCTGCCTTTTTCACCTCTTTGACCAGACCCACCTCTTAACAGCACATTCAGCTGTGGACTCATCAGTGTATTAATCCCCTGTTGAGTGTAGCGGCCCCATGATCCAGTCACCTTCTAAAAGCCGAACCTCTCTCTGAACACATGAGGATTTTGGGGGACATTCTAAGTCGAAATCATTACACCAATTTTCTGTTAAAAATTAAGTTACTGAGAATTGAACATTAATATTACAGATTAATCCCTTATATGTAATTCTGAAATCTACAAAGCTTGGAAGGTAAAAAGTTTTTTCATACATTTGTGCCCATTCAAACTTGAACTGACCCTACTGTGTGGATATTTGTATGTTTTTTTATTTTCTCACCTAATGTAAATGTTCATTTGTTTCACTTTGAAGAAACATTAATGTGTTTGATTATCTGTTCCAGATAAATAATATACAATATACATAACCATATTATCTCTGAAAAAATTCTGAATTCTAAATACATCTCACTCCAGGGGGTTTAGAAAACAGATTATGGAGCTATATGAAGTTACTAAATTTTGATATTGTCAGCGAACAGTATAAATCAATAGCAACTTCCTGTTGTTCTAGAAGCAACTCTGACCTTCTTTTCTGTTTGAAAAATCCAGATCCAAAAGTCGTTTTGGTCAAGGGCGTCCTGGATAAACCACCTTAAAATATAAAGACAGAAGGTACTCGTGGACATCTGAAATGCTCACTTCTTGAAGACCTTCAGAATGATGACTTCTGGATGTTTTATTTATTAATTACTCCTGCAAGGCACATAAATCATAATACTGAAGATGCATATAGTTAGGTTTTATGAAAATCTAATTGTAAATATGAATCCTCTTAAATCTAATTTTTAGTATGATTCTAGGCTATGTAGAAAACAATTATTTACAAATTTTGCATTGTTAAAATTCCTAATATTTGTTATTCTTTATTTGAAAGAAAAGTTTCAATTGTTACATCACTAAGTTCTTTTAAGACATTAAAAAAATTAGGGGTACACAACTGCTAGTATTCCTGTGCATGTGCACTAACTGTACTGTCTCTTGGGCTGTAAATCTTGGGGGTAATATTGAGAACCGCAGTTTGTATGATATTACCAGTGATGTTAAGCTTGCATGAATATTAAGGAGTGAAAGAGCTCAAGACTGCATTGAAGTTTCAAGGTAAGTATTTCAATACTGTGTTAGGCAGAAGGATTTTTTTCAGCATTATTCTGTCGAAAGTACAATATTAATCCAACTTTTATTTCTTTCAGTTTTTAATGCTTATGTATAGGTCATCTGAACTGATCATTACCTCTTTTCTCTGAGAAGCTAGTGCTATTATAGATTTGTTAAAATAACTCTTGGTAGATTTAGGATAGTAACTCTCTTCAGTTGTATGGGACACTCACCATAACCATTTTTAGTGTTTTGAGGTCCATCTATATTTCTATAACCATTTATATATACCTTTAAAACACAATTTCTTGTTACTTTAACAGTGTCTGAAAAATTCCCACATACATTTGATGGGTGAAAACTTTCATATATTCAAGAAAAACCAAAATAAAATTAAAATTCTATTTTATAGATCATGTTTTAGTTTTTCTAACCAGGCAGAAAGAATGCTCAGGGAAAAACTGTTCCAAACCATAAGCATATTATAAATTATGTGTTTGGAAGTTACTTATATATAGATCTCTGAAAAACTTTAAGATGCACTGTTTCTTTTTTTGGTCTTCATTTGCCTTGTAGTTGAAATGTGTTCAAATTATTCAGAGAATAGACTGATACTTTGTGACTGAACAGCCATCTTTTGAAATGTTCAATTGTTATATTTAGTTTACACATTCAGAAATCATTGTGGGGTGTTTTTTTTGTTGTTTTTTTTTTTGTTTTGGTACTGGGGATCGAACTCAGGTCCTTGCACTTGCACAGCAGGCAGGGAAACCACTGAGCTAAATCTCCACCTCCAGAAATCATTGTTTTTAGTTAGTATTTTAGTTGATATTTGAGCTATTGATTTGATATTATAGGTGTTGCTTTGCCAAAGTTTTTGAACTTAGGTTTGGAAATTTTTGTTTCAGCATATATTTATTTCAATTATTTAATATTTTGGAAATAGATTATACCATATTTATTTCCAAAAGCAAATGTTTTGTTGTACATTAAAACCCTGTTAAATACCTTTCTTGTGGTGGTTTAAGATATTCACTGGTAAAAAGATTTGGGTTTATATATGTAAACAGTGTTGTGATGGTGACAATTAGAGAAGGAAAAGATGCGTTTTTAATTTATGATAAAAATGCAAACTGCTGTACCACTGAATTTATTTTTAAAAACCAGAATTTAAGTCTCTGTAGAATGTCCTTTTTGTTTTGTTAATGTCTGTCTGTAATACATGGCACAGGAACCACCAACATTTTACTCAAACTTGTTACACTTCTTTTACCAGATACTTTGAGGTTTTACCTTACATTCTGAATTCATATTTCTTTGACTGAAATAAATGTTAATGACACAACTTTTGGGGAAAGTCCCTTAATCTGAAGCATTTCACTCTCTCAGAGAAAAGTCTAGGTTTCTCTAGATTCCATAGGTGTTCATGTAAAATTAGCTCTGTTACAAGGTGAAATTTTTGTTTTTGTTTTTTTTGTTTTTGTTTTTGTTTTAGGGTACTGGGGATTGAACTTGGGACCTTGTGCTTTCGAGGGAGGCGGAGGAACCACTGAGCTAAATCCCCAGCCCTACAAGGTGAAATTTTTAAGATTATTTTAAATATAGTTATTCTGGTATACATTCAGCAAAGAAATGGGCCACAGAAGCCTCAGTGTTAGAGCAGTGGCATGTGTAAGGCCCTGGGTTTGATCTCTAGCACCCTGGGAGAGGGGGAGACAACAAAAATACTGCAGAAAAGATGATCATGTAACTGCTGAGAGCACACAATCCCGTTAATTTGTTTTTTCCATCTTCAGAATGCTCAACCCTAGGTACTGTGAGATGTGCTAATCACTTTGAAAACTGAAGCTGAAACTCTGTAATGCTTATTTGCTAATGATAAATGGGTTGAGGGGGGTAGGTGTGCCACAGCTCCCAACGCAGAGGAGGCTCCCAGGTCAATGAGCCACAGCTCCCAGAACAAGAGGCTTCTGGGTAGGCATGCCACAGCTCCCAGCACAGAGGATGTTTCTGGGTCAACGAGCCACAGCTGCCAGTGCAGAGGAGGTGAGCTGTGCAGGCGCCACCAGCACACACACCACACCCCACCCCTGTCGAAATGAGAAGACACATAAACAAGCCTCAGAACCAGATTTCCAGATCACCTACAGCAACCCCAAAAGGAAACGAGATGGAACACTGATACTCAACCACCTGGACTCCTTGAACTAGCAACAAAAGAGGATCTGAAAAAAATGAAATCAGAAATAATTTCTCACGTAACAGCAGAGATTGTACCCATAGTGCAAGACATGATTAATCTAGAGAGGACACAGATAAAAAAATAGAGGAGCTGAGGAACATGATGGAATCCCAACATAGGAAACAAATGGAATCCATAAAACAGATGCAAACATTTCCAGGAGATTAAAAACTCCATTGAAAGTCTATGCAGCAGAATGAACCAATGTGAAGACAGAATTTCAGATATAGAAGATAA